GTTTAGTTTTTTGATCCGCGGAAAGACGATAAGTCAACTGCTAAACATTCTTAATCATATTTTTCTGAAGAAATAAAACAGAACCAAGCTTTCAAGTGTAATGCATTTTTATTGTTAAACGGTCTCATTCTTTTGTGGAAGATATATATATTCATTTTCATGTGCTTCATAGCTTCTTTACGCTTGTATTATTAAAAACTGTTTGCGACGTGCGCTTAAACTTTTACTTAACTATATCAGAAAATAACAGTTGTAAACAGAAGAAGGAAGGACGATCGGCTGGAAGCCACCTCGTTCTTTGACACAGTAGGTTGTTGTTGACGGTATCTCACCATCGGATATAGAGTATCTTGCTTAGAAAACTGTTAATAAATACTTATATCTTTTCAATGATGTTTTCGTAGTTTTCCACGTTTACCCTCATAACGCTAGTTTTGAAAATTTTAACTTTACTATCACTTGACAGTTGTTTTGAGTCCCATATGTTCTTCAGTTGTAGAAATGCTGCCTTTGATTTGTCAATCCGTGTTTTCACATCTGCGACGGATCCCCCTGGTTTAATAATGATACTGACCGGGCGAGGAAAAATTTCACTTTCTTCCACAGCTTCTCCGATTGTAGCCCTTCTAGGTTTATTGTGATTCTCGGTCCTGTATAAAGGTGAGGGGTTGGGCGTGGGTTTAACAACTAAATCTCGTAGAAAAAAACAACCTTGCTGAGAAAACGCAGAAAAGCTTAGACTAGAATAAATGTTAATTGAGAGATAAAATCATGTCCTTTAGATCACATGTCAGTAATTTAATTCCAGAATTATTACGAAAATATTAATCGTACATAGTTATATTCTTTTTTATTAACAACTACAGACAAACCACACTTGAAGAAAAAAACCATCCTGAGAGTAAATTCATTTTATCGACTCAATTCAACCGAAAAATAGTCTTGGCAGGTTAACAATTTCAGCAATTATCGAAGAAACTCCCTCGTCCAAATCAGCATTTACTGAGTTCACGTTTGATACGTAACCGGGGCCACCATAATTAAAATATAAATGAAGTGAAAATAATATGAAGATGAAAGAATTTAATTTATACAAACTATTCAGTAAACAATACTGATATTACATTTTCTTTCTAGTCATTAAATTACATTTATTCGCACAACATTATTCATAAATCTCTAAAATATGTGATTTATGAAATACTATGTAGAAAAAATTATCAGATACAACGAGAAAATGGCTATTAATCACTCTCCAGCCCTAAATGACTATCAACTGATGTCATTGTACAAGAAGGATTAATTAACCTTGAAGTATGATGATGAACATTACACAGGTTTTATGAGCAGTGTGTTTAAGCACTTGAACAAAACATGTATAGTGATGTACATAAAAGCACATCGTGATATACCAGTCAATCAGTCAGTTATAACTTAGAACTTTCTACGTACGTACATCAGCTCAAGTTGCCATACCATATTAGCGCAGATATATACAAACACACAATGAACTAAGCCATGCTCTGACAGACTAGCATAGTGTATACCCTCATTCCTGCATTACTGAGTGACATACATTAGAACTTTGAAGAAATTATAAGTCTTTGTACAGTTGGTTAAACACTTTCATGAAAAGTGACAACAGTGTCAGACTACGATTTAAGTCTTCTTCGCAGTTGCATACTACTTAAAAAACATAACAAGAACTACATAAATTTGTCATATTCAATAAATTTAAAAATATTCATTTCTTACTTACTTACTTACGCCTGTTACCCCCAATGGAGCATAGGCCGCACACCAGTTTTCTCTAATGAACTCTGTCCTGGGCTTCCCTCTCCAGGTCTGCCCAATTTTCGATCATTCTTCTCATATCTTTCTCTATTTCTCGACGTAATGTGTTCCTTGGCGTTCCTCTTTTCCTTTTGCCTTGAGGGTTCCATGTGAGGGCTTGTCTCGTGACGCAGTTCATTGCTTTTCGCAGTGCGTGACCTATCCAGTTCCACCGCTTCTTCCTGATTTCCTCCTCCACTGGAATCTGGTTTGTTCTCTCCCGCAGTACGTTGTTGCTGATGGTGTCTGGCCAACGAATACGAAGTATTTTGTGAAGACAGCTGTTAATAAACACTTGTATCTTCTGGATGATGGCTTTGGTAGTTCTCCGAGTTTCCGCTCCATACAGTATAACTATCTTGACATTTGTATTGAATATCCTGATTTTGGTGTTGATTGATATTTGTTTGGAGTTCCAGATATTTTTCAATTGTAGAAATGCAGCCCTTGCTTTGCCGATCCGCTCCCTCACATCTGCATCTGATCCACCTTTCTCGTCAATGATGCTGCCCAGATATGTAAAGGTGTTAACGTCCTCCAAGGCATCTCCATCAAGAGTGATTTGGTTGGTGCATGTTGTGTTGCGTCGGAGAATTTCGCTTTTTCCTTTATGTATGTTGAGACCTACTGCTGCAGAGGCTGCTGCTACACTGGTCGTCTTCTCTTGCATTTGTTGTTGCGTGTGCGATAGAAGAGCAAGGTCATCTGTGAAGTCCAGACCGTTCAGCTGCATCCTAGCTGTCCAGTGGATACCATGCTTGCCTTCAGATGCTGACGTCTTCATACTCATTTCATTCATTCATTTCTGATTGCGACAAAATTTATACTTGGCGCATACTCGATAGAATAATACAAAATACTAAACGTATGAAAAATGATGACCTACTCGTTTTATACACCTTTGTTGGTGACTCATCCTGTTCTCTATCAGGTTTATTCAATAATTTCTTATCGCCTGCAAAAATTAGTTTCAATGAATTACTTACCATGTTTATCCTCCTCGAGACATTCAACACTGATAATTAGAAATATACACAAACAAATTGAATATGTAAAGATAATCTAACATATAAAATTAAACCATTGTTCGTATTCAATATTCATTGTTATTACCTTATTGGCTTGTTTGTTAAAGAACATTTGGACGGAAATATAGTGATTTGACATAATTAATTGAAGATTTTACTTACTTATATACATAACTTACAACAAATTACCCAATTCTTGAACTACTAAATGGTCTAACTATGCACCAATCATCGGCATGATCAATTCAATAGTTGTCGTTAAATGAACATACTGACGATCTTGTAGAATTATTTTACGTTTAAATTTTGACACATTGGAATAAGAAAATAAAAATCAACAATTGATATTCTCTGAAGTAATCTGTAGAACAGATCAATCAAACTAACCAATATATAGTTACTCTTATGAACATATGATATGAAAGACATATAAAACTATGACAGTGTTTTGATTAATCGACCGTTTACTCACAATTAGTATATTCAGTCATTTGCAATTACCATTTATCCCAATCTTCATTAACTGAGTAGTTGTTAATAAGTGACAGCGGACGGGGAATAGAGTTGTAAGTAGCTGAAGAGAAACCACAAAATAAATTTCTGTTTTTAATAAGCATTTTTGTTATTTTTGTAAATAGTTCTGATTCAACTGATTGTAATTTCAAACAGTAATGCTTATTTCTGAAGTTAGATGGTGAGGAAGTGTAGACGTTTATTATTATCTTTCTTTGAATGTTTAGTCAAATTACCAAACAATGCTCTTTACTATTTATTCGTTATTTTTTAGATCATAGGATTGAGAAAGAAAAGTTAAGAAGTTTAACAAAAATAGGATCATATATTGATTGGGTATGAATTTAACTTACTAAAGAGATTACTTTAAATTATCTATTATGAGTTTAACTTATCAAACAGTGCACTCAATGGAGATTAAATGCTAAATATTTCTTCGTTGTATTTATCAATGCAAATAGGGGAAAGGGAAGTAGAAATAAACAAAAAAACTAAAAACTTTTTAGAGAAATTATTATTTTACTAGATCATTGTTAGCATAATGAAATCTAAACGTGATAGAACTGTAAAATTTAAAATGGGAAAGAAGAAACACATCACTATAAATAAGCAAAAATTCTTTAAAAAATAATAGATTTTACAAGTTCAAACATACAGAAGAAGATAGAGCATCTACAAGTGGTAATAAGTTATAAACAATTAGTGTTCAGTGAATATTAAATGATCGTGTTGAATAGATTTCGGCATTTGTATCAATTAGAGAAGCTGTTCGAAACGAGGCATTTCTTTGAATAAATAAATGTAAACGAAACCTTGGATAAACGATTATTGTGCGACCAATAAGATTCAAAACATTGGCTTCAAAGCTCTATACGTTCATTTGGTACTAGATTATCTCTTACTTTGAAATTAGTTTTGAAAGAAAACCAGCCAATTTCATCACAAAAAGAGAAAACATGTGCAAAGACGAAAGAAATGTATATGATATTTTGTATCATTATTTCAATGAATATTGTATATAAAGTAGACTAACGATAGCTATTTACTTAGTATATTTGATATATTTCATTTCCAGTGTCAGTATTAATCACAAATAAGTTTTTATTCAACTTTCACGTTTCGGTGTACGACATAAATTTATCAAGAACCATTTCATGTTTCGTAAACTGTGGTGAGTTAATACAGCACAGAATTTCAATATGTCTATTATTTACGGTTCATATTAACGAAATAATTATCTTCCCGACCTGCACATTCTCTCCAGATACGCCTAAAACAAAGTCTCTAGAAAGAACTACACTTTAGTAAGAAGTATTTACCCACTAACTGGAAGAATGAAAGAAAAAAAACTTATTGAACGTTGAATATGTTGTAGGCAACATCACTGTCTTGATGAGAAAATGAAAGTCTTAATTATTGAACCATACTGTTCATCAGAAGTAACGTTTTGAAAGTTCTAATTCTAATCTACAATTATTTCTGAGTTTTTTGCAATCTGTTTGGTTTGAATTTGAGTTTTATTCAACAATTAAACTATTAGTTTGATTAATTAAAATTAGTTCAATAGATAATTGAATAATTCTTTCCATCGTAACATATTAAACGAAGAAAAATAACACGGAAAAGTTAATCACCGAAATTTTTTATAATTCACTTAATGATTTATAATTCCAGTTCAATTGACAACATTGAATAAACGCATAGAATTGAAATTACACAACACACATAAACAGAAATAAAATAAGAAAGACATAAATGAGTTTACAATACTTTTTTTTCTCAATAAATGCAAACACAAAGAAAGTTGATATCACTAAATGAAAGATGACAATGGAAATACATATTCCAATAGTGCACACCATGTCATAACACATTCATTTGAAAGAAAGGCATGATAATAATTTGTAAAAATAAAATGAATAAAATATTTTTTTTAAAAAAACAATGAAAAATTGAAGCATAAAGTGAAGTATAAATCATTATCTTTTTTTTTATGTAAAAACCTAAAAACAAAACAACATAAAATGTCTTCGATGTTTGAGTATCAATTTGTCAAATGTCAATGTTTTTTTCTAATCACCACAAGTCAATCATTACTCTAATATGTCATTGTTAATGCATTGATTATTTGGAATGAATTAAACCGTAATTTTTTTTTCTGTCTTTTGTGCATTTATGAGTGTGCGCGTGTGTGTAAAAAAAAGAAGTGACATCGACATCGAAATAATTTTCAGCAGTATATAAACGACTACTCATAAGTAATAAAAACAAGTCAGAATAAATAAACGTTAGTGTTTTGTCAAAGGAAAACACAAAAAAGAATATCACAATTTCAAGACTAAAATTGCTTTTTAAATCATTGAACAAATAAAAAACAACAACAACAAATAAGTTATAATTTGTAAGCTATCGGATATACACGTACAAAAACAGATAAACGGAATGATTCATTAAAACAAAGGAATGTGTATGACATGATATGATGATGTGCGTTATCATGTAAAAATTGAATTTTTGGTTTAACTTATTAAACAAGTTGCACCTCTTCAAATGCATCATTATCAGCTGATGTATTTAATAAATTTGAAATAGTTTTACGATTTTTATAATGTAAACGATTAGCAATACGTTTATTACGTTTAGTGAATAGTTTCGTTTTAATTAATGATGTCATTTTACCAGTCTGATGAATATCAACATTATAATGACTTATTTCACGACTAATTGTCTCTTGTTTGTCTAATGAATTCATATTCACATCTGTATTATTATCATCATCATCATCATCATCACTGTCATTGAATACATCATATGCTTTATTAGTTGTGTTATGCTTTAACATAGATTCTAAACAATTATCTGAATTATTATTATTATTATCCGAATTAACATGATTTAAATCAGTATCAACAGTTAACAATGAATATGGTCCACGTTTGATTTGATTAGTTAATGAGAATGATGTTGTTGTATTGTCTAATTTACCAACAGAACGTCGTACAATTGCATATGGTGTACGAGCGTAACAACAGAAACGATAACATAAACACATAGTTAAACCACATGAAAATATTGCAATTATTGAAGCTGTAAAGAAAGCAAGAAAAAAAAAAGAGGAGTGAAATATTCCCCATTCGACAAAAAGTATGATGATAAATAAAAGAGACCGGAAAAAACATATAAATTCCTGTCTAAAGAATTGTAATATAACGATACAGTTTGTCTACAATGGCTAATTATCATTAACTGAATGTCAGTGACAACTGCAATTAAAGCTAATTGATTTATTTGAAAAAAAAAACTATATTTCATTCAATCTGTTGAATGATAGCATTGTCAAGACTGTTGATTAAAATTAAAATTGTTTCATTTCACATTTGATTAACAGGTAAATCTTCAAGTGATTTGAGAATAATCTCCCATAATTTATGTATGAAACTACCGTTTGTGTATATTAACATCAATGGTTAACACTTTTCTGACAGTGACTTAAAAATACTGATATTAGTGACCTTATCTCACTAAACTGCTGAAATTCACGGGGAATTAAATGTTTTTATCACTATTATCACTGAGTATACGTACGTGTCTTAAACTGTAGTTTTCGCCAATACTTTATATTTACATTAGAACCTTTATCAAGTGAGTTCTGAGGATCTAACGTCTGAAACAACTTTCGTCTTATTCTCTTTTAGTGGTAGATGATTAAAAATGCCTCGTAACGTTGACGACTAGATGTCTTCAAACCTTTTTCAATGTGTGTTTAAACCATCGCGGCAATAATTTTGAGGTTAGACTGAGAGCATCAGGTAGAGATAGCAAATTGATTTATCAGGTAATAAATATTCATCGACTGAAGTGGTTGGGACATGTACGGTTTTACGTATGCCCGATTACCATCTAACACATTGAGAGACGATGGCTGATGTAATAGGTTGGTAGTAAGTTGCTGCGACATCATATAGATAATGACTGTTGGATTGAGCAATGCAGATAGGTACAAACTACGTGGTTGGTGTCCACGTGATTGCCGTAACCAATTGTTAGAGTTTTGAGTGTTACGGCTCAAAATCGTTCGCAATGAGCGAGGCAAATTCACTCTTTGTCTTACACTAGGTCTTACGATTATAAACTTCAGATAACTCTTCTTATCTTACTAATCCAAATTCTCTTCAAAAATCATATTCCCGATACTCAATATTTTCTGAAAGCACCAACTCTATTAATCTGGAATTTGTTTTCACAATTTCATCTTGTTATGTTAATGAAATATGACTTTGTACCGGGTTTGACGTAAAAGTGGTTAGTCAGTAATTAGAATGTCCAAAAATAACTTCAATAGTAAAAGAACACCCATACTATTCAATAATCAAGAAACCATTTATAAAGCTATGATGAATGGTCATTCAGTAGTAACCAATGTTATATTTGCTTAGTCCTGAATGTTGATTATCAACCACACTACAATGTGAACACTTAGTTTAACTGATTCGACATTGCATACAAAAATAATTTGGGTTTGAATCCCATAAGAAACAATAATCTCTTCAAGCTTATTATTGGCGTACTGTGAAGATAAGCTTCTTGTCAAGTAATTCCAGCCACATAATACATTAATGTATGTTTCGTCATCAATTCAGATTCAAAACGAATCTCTAAGTAGTAAATAAAAACATATAAAATATGAAGTAATAATTTCACTCAAATCAGAATCCGAATATCCTGTCGATTTACTTGACTTAGTCAAAAAATGTTATGTTGTCAACTTCACAATGTGATTAACTCTAAACGAAAAAAAATTCTTAGAAATTCAACAGGTAGGATGAATGCATATTAAGTACATAATTTTTATGTTTGCAACACTGACATCTCAAAGTTATTTGATAATAATAACCTTTATCTGTTAGGTTTATACAACTTATTATTATTAAGACTATTATTAATGCAGAGAAACATCATTTATTGAAATCATGAATCGATCAATGTTAGAACACCATTAGAAACCTGGAAGCACTGGATGGCCGTTTCGTCCTGGTACACGACTCGTCAGTAGTACGCATCCACGATACCTGTACCTCGCAGGATTTGAACCCAAGATCTTTGGTCATACGCACAAACGCCTAACCTCTGAACCAATGAGCCGGTATCTAACAGTGTTATTGTCTATTGTAAATTCTATACATGTATTCTAAAATAAAATGAAGTAATCTTTTAATCGCTCATAGTTTTCAGTAAATTTTCGTGAATCTGATAAAAATTGATAAACTTATTTTTCATTGTTTACGTTATTAACAAAGTAGAAGTTTAAGTTCTGACATTTTGGATTCAAACTATTTATGAAAACTATGAATGATAAGAACATAAAGCAGCTAAATGAAAGTTAGTTTAATTGTAAATGCGATAGATCCAGCTAGACAGTGATTCGGATAATGAATTTATGGATTTTGTGAAGTAACTGATGAATGCACAGTCTACAAAGGTTTTTTTTCTAATCATTTCGCATGCTATGGTGTTTTACTGTATTGAAGAAAATGATTATCTACATACAGTTTTGCATTGTCACTCAGTTCTTCTACAACACAGCTAAAAAATACAAACTGAGTAATATATAGATAAATATATATATATGCTATTTGAGATGAACATGAATTCGAATATAAGCTCATATAAGGAATTGGTTTCTTACCAAGCATACTGACAACATATAAACGATAGGCAGGAGATAAACCACCAACATGTTTCATATAAAATACATGATAAATGGGACTTTTCAATATATCCACATTGATTATTTCACTGAGATCTAAGTAACCATGAGCTCGTAATGTGAAACGATACATTCCTGGTGGTAGAATCATACTGAAATAACCATTCTGATCACTGGAACCAGTAGACAATTCACTACGAACATAATCAAGATGTATACGAACCCATGGTATTGGTTGATCATTTGAATCCTGATGAAAACGATTTTGGAAAAATAAACGAAGCATCTAAATCACGATAAAGGCATTATTTTCTAAAACCTCAAAAAATAAGTCGCGAATTGATTTTGGCTAGATTACAGGCTAGACAACAGGACTCAATGGATGTTCAGTGCTCCCAAGTTTTTAATAGCGGTCTAACTCAGATCATTTCGCGATTTAAACCTGGAAATCCTACAATCTTTAGAAATCCCCTACATTAATGTTAAATATCATTTCTGCACAACTGTTAATTTTTCAAGAAGTTTAAAATCGGTGTTTTGTTACTTTGAAGTCCGTTAGCTGAGTGCAACCTATGAGCTAGTACGTTAGAATCTAAACCCTCACTTGTAACATACACCTTAAATCTATTTACTGTTACATTTAAACCCACACAACTCAGTAGATAGTGACCATTTCACTTGATGCAACTTATCAGCCTCGCACACTATTCCTAGCTTCAGTAAACACAAGTACTGCAAGCAGTGAGGATTTTTTTCTTCCATCAGAAGGAGCTGTGTGACACAATTGAAACCTCGCGCTACCAACTGCTAGTTTTAATTATCAGTTGGTCTGAATTTTATGCTTCTACTATTTCTGAATGCTGTCGATTGCTTTCTCAATTAACTGTAAGCACATTCTACTGGCCATGTTTCACAACCATAAAGTAGGACGGAGAGAATTGCTGCGCAGTACACTCGTTCTAATTTATGTACTGCGCAACAGTTCCCTCCACCCTACTTTATGGCCACGATTAGGTACAATTCACACGGACAGTAGGCAATATTTTCATTATTAACGTGTGAGGTGTATACAGAAATGATGATGAAAGCCATGGTTTATTTCATGAACTAACTTAAGAAGATAGACAACCAAAGAAAACGAGGTATCGCTAGACGGTTGTTTTATTCAAGTATGAGACTCAACAATGCTGAATATCCATGACTGAGTGATAGATTGAACGCAGGAAATGTTTTATACTAATTCTTTTACAAAAAAACTAACTAAATAAATAGATACACTCAAAAATAAACACTGATATTGCTAAATTTCCATGCAATTAGAGTATAGATTAGGCAAATAGAAAAAAAACACGACAAATTATAGTGAAAATTCATCAATAACTTATCAATGAATAATGCATAAACACTTACACGAACATGACCTATTAATCCTAAACTTCCCAATCCAATCAAACTAGTATGCTCAATGAGACCAGCCATTAAACTAGGAAATCGATAATCTGCCCATACACGTGCCACACCAGATGGACTAGGCGAAAAACAACCAGGACAAAGTGTTAAACCAATACTTGGCGGCATCCTAATTGGTAATGGTGGTGAAAATGATAAACTTGATTGTAATTGAAAATGTTCTGTTTCTTCTAAAGCTAATTTCGGATTCATAGAAGCTAAAGCAAGTGATAGAGCAGCTGCTTTAGCAAATCGATTAGTTGATTTTTGTGCTTTATTATCATAATGAATAAGAAAATCACCACCAGGTCTACGACGTCGATCGGAAATTTTGGAAAATGCTTTTAAAGATAACGAATGAGTTAGTGTACACATAGAGGATGGCCGATGAAAACTAGGAGAGAGTAGTTTACCAAGAAATCGTAACCAATTATAACTTTCTGACATTAGGTCACGACCATAAGCAGATTCGGTAGGATCTGAAACAAATCAATAGGCAAAATATGATATTGTTACAACTTAACATATAGATGAATGTAATCTAAGAATGAATCAGTAAAAAAAACTTGAATTGATTTAGTTTCAGTGTAACCATACACATGTGAATAGTATCCATAAAACTAATTCAATGTACACTATTATGGAACTTCAAACATACACTGGAGTTTTAAAAATTGTCACTAATCTATTTAACCTACATATAAATAAACAAATAGTGGAGAAAAATTGTAGTTCCGGGGGAATGATAAAGGTAGATTTTCGTTCTCTGAGCAACATGATATTGTTCAGAAGAACAATGAAAGCTCCACAACCAAAACATCCAGCTCAGGGAATAAAACTCCCCCGTAAGCATACATAAACATTTTCAAAAAGTGACAATAATAATTGAAACAAAAATAAATCGAAGTATTTATCTGGTTAAATTCATTTCATCGTAATCATGGGTATAACCACTTTGGTCTAATGTATATTTCTAACTGAATCTACATTGAAGTATAAACAATAGTATTCACTAACCAATAAGACTATGAACCCAGAAAGATACGAAAAATGTCTATATTAAACGTAGTGTTATTGAATCCTACAAAACATAATGACAAGAAAACACATTCTAGTGGAGAATGAATTGCACATTTACAGACTGCAAAGTTGCACAGTTAATTACAGTATTAAATGATCCAGCTTTGAGTTTTAGAAAAGCAGAAACTTTTAAAAATAGTCAATACTTTCTGCAATTCATTTTTACCAAATACAAGTTGAATGTATTTATTTAGCATAACACATTCATAAAACTAATTAACTATTCAAAACAAATTAGATAAAGTTGATTTTAGCCATAAGATACAGTAATTAGAAGTCCACGTTTTTAAAGCATCAAGCGATTAATATCCATATTTTCATGTTGGTATGAGTTGATCATTCTTCACGATTAATGTATGATACAAAGTATTTGAGGAAAATGCCGATATCAAAATATTCATTATATATATATATATATATATATATATATATATATATATATATATATATATATATTTATATATAATGTAAAATTCTAAAATCAACCAACTTACCTGTATCATAATTAATATCAGATAGTTGATCAGTTGGAAAACTTATAATAGAATTTGCTTGATATAATTGTAACCATTTAAGAAGAGCTAAATTTTCTGGTTGAAGTGATTTATAAGCAAATTCTAATTTCGATTTTGATTCCCACCACCACTGATGACTAAATGTTAAATTACTTCCGGTTAAACCTTGTGTTAATAAACAATAGAAAATTAAGTTGATATACAAATTAGTAATTCTGTTTAAAAGTGATAGATAAGTATATAAATTTTCTTTCATTGTAGGGTTGTGGAGGTTGTTGAGTTTCATTGAAATCATGAATCAACTGGAAGTACTGGACGGCCGCTTCGTCCTAGTAAGGGACTCATTAGCAGTGCGCATCCACAACCTCCGTTTGCAGTAATCTAACCAAGGACCTTTGGTTTTGCGTTTGAACACTTAACTTGTAGACTACTGAGTCGGCACCCAACTTCAATCAATCCCAAACATTTATTTATTTCAGATTCAAGATCGTGTATTGACGATGTTAGAGGTTCAACGAAATCACAAATCAATCATTGTCAATAATCTATCTAGAAGCTGCCGTAAATAATTGCAGTAATTCAGAAACAGAATAGTTTACAAATATATCATAGAATACGATAGACTCCTAGCGAGATAAAGTTACAGGATAGTGGAAAATAAAGTATCTAACAATTTGGGAACAAAAGTTTCTTAACCCATCACGTGTACAATGAAGTTGGTAAGCTCAGTAACCAGTAACAATGTGCACGGTTTATAGAAACTAGATATAAGCTACCAAATCGATAGTTTGGTGCATAGACCATTGAGTTATCAATCAACAGTAGTGATATATTTTACACATTGAACACTCTAGACACTAACTTACTAGCACAGTCATAGCTTCATAAAATCTTTAACTGTTTTACAGTGAACTGAAAAGAGGTGGAAAATACAGAAGAAACTGAACTTTGTAAGCTTAACGATGTACATAAAACAATGGTATTTGATGTATCACATAGAACCTTGAAATACAATTATATTCGAGAAAACATGTTAAAACTGATTATTGAAATGTTGAAAATTGTCCAATTAAACTTAGGAAGATAAAAAGGAGTCGTTTTTCAAACTTTTCTCTAGCTCAAAAGTTTACAGAAAACCCTGATTAGCCAAACAATACTGTAATTTTTTGCTTGTTTCTGAAGAATTTTTTAAGGAATTACTGGTGATATATACAGCTTTAAAATGTTCATTGCTTGGTCTTCACTTCTTATTTGATAATAAATTACATATACGTCAAATGATAAATTTAAATGGCGAAATTCCAGCGTAATTTCTTTAATTGACATTAATCTAACTAAACAAAAATCTGGAAAACCTATAGAATTAGTTGATCACTGATCAGTGACGAAGGTCACGTGTGCCAAGATCTTAGTGGTGATCGAATTCTATCAATCAGGTTGAGATATGGTCATTAATCTAAGTGATCTGATATCCAGATGTAAGATGGCTGGACGTAGTCGATGGAAAACCCTGTTTTATGCTATTTTGAACTTGTAATCCCGTAATCCCCAGGGGACTGATGATCTCTGATGGATTCCATCTCGTATCACTCAGCCTCACAGCCACAAACGCTAATACATACATGACATGAGTCACTACTCAATGATAAACCGATTGACTGCCTCAAGCAACAATGCAAGAATGTTCAGGATGCGGTTTTCCTCATTGAAATACAAAATGTTGCTTCAGGACGTAGTTGAGACATGTGTTACGAATGCCCAACCACCGACTGTCTTGGCAAGCGATGAAGCCTGGTGTAGGGGTGATCAGGAAGAAAGCCAGGGTCGGCCAGACCGAAACATAACACAAATCCATGAATCCATTTACAACTGAACTGTGCCATGTTAGTAGGTGTAGACTACGAGATTGGGGTTAACAAGACAATAGTAAACGATGGTTAGGGGCTTTGAATGACATTGCTCAAAATCGTCTGCAATGGCGCACGTGCATCCATTCATTGTGTTCTCTCAAATTGTAATCTTTTGAATTTCTCATCACCTCTATCTTTCCCTTTTTAAATTTATGTCCATGAATTATACTCCTTGAATAAACTATTCGAACCCTAACCTCCATTACCGATAGTACGTCTGCTACATCTACCACTATGGGATTTGAATTGACAATTACATCCATGTGTTAATGTGGTATGGCAACCTGAAGTGATGTATGTACGTACGAAGTTCTACTATGTTGCTGACTGACTGGATGTAAAGATATTTTAGTCCTCTACAGGTCAGTCACGGCTGGAATAGCTTAGTGGTGGCATATCAGTGTGTGAAGCTGATAGATCAGTTTTGAATAGCACGAAATCTAGGTCTAGAGTTTCCTTTCAACTACTTCCAGCCATTAATTTACATCTGGGAAAATTCAAACAATCGGAACCAACTAAAAAAAATGGAAATAAACCAAACCATGCATTACTCACCAATTAATTGTTCCCATAAATCTACACCAGCTTCATTTGTATAACCAGTGAACAATTTACTAGCTCTATTAGTACTGAGCAAGATTGGAAATTAAAAAACAATTAAATAAAAATAATAAATAAATGATTGAACACAGAAACAACAATAATACATGGACTAATCAATGACTTAAATCGTAATAGTAAAACGTATTTATGATTTATGGAAAAAAAAGTCAATTAATTAGCTATAATCATCAACCATATAGGCGTGTTAGAAAAGTGCGTTAGTTGAAGTTTTCACATGAAATCAATACAACAAGATACAATTAACAAGGTGTGAATAGAAAAGATATTGAAATAATTATAATATTAATAATAGTGACTCATCGAACTGTTCGAATAATGATAAATTTCTTTTTGGAAGCGATCAGTCTCTTTGATAAATTTCCATGGTGTCTAATGAGAAGGAAGACAAAGATTATTCAATTGTTTGAAATGTATTGCGCTGATATATCGCATAGTTCTGATAATTATCGTTTTCTCATTATATTATGCAAATAAATCTTCTCCCTAATTTTTATTGATAACAATATAAACTTCTTCTAATTTAATGTACAACAAAATAGTTTCAAATATATTATCATAAATAATCTATACAACAAATATTGTGTATAAAAGTGATCACGAAAAGTGAATATCAGAAATAAAATCCACTAGGTAGACACAATTAAAGCAGGAAAGTGATAGTGGTATGTTTATTTGATTACAGATAAAATAGTTAGAAATGAACAAAGTAGCAACCAAATACTTAATTATTGAAATAAATCATTTTTCTTTAAGAAAAGACATTAGTTCGGATCAACTGAACATTGACAACTATAATTGTTTAATTTATATTTCAGTTAACAAGGTGTGAAAAGGTGAAGAAATATTGAACAATTTCTTTGTTGTTACTGGTCATCATAATAATTAATAATAATAATAATAATAATAATAATAATAATAATAATAATAATAATAATAATAATAATAGAAACTGTATAGAAATTATTTGGGTGTGGTCTAAAGCATTAACCATATGGAACAAAACCTTCATGGAGATGAACTTAATAATTACAAACTGACAGTTTTAGAGACTTGTTTTACTGGGAAATTCTAACTAAATAACAAATAACAGCCACTGGTATAGTGAATAGTCGATGATGCACTGAGATTTTGATAAAGTAAATAGAAGGTAGAAGCTAAGCTAGAACTATTTTAGTTTGCTCAGACAAGTCGTATTACTAGCTGTTATAAAGTGAGTAGTATTTGGCAAACGAATAAGTTGCACAGAACTCCAACATGTGTGACCAAATATAAGAACCTTATTACTCAGTTAGTTCTATGCAACGTAGTACCTGATACATATTTACATCGATTCAAGTTTCCATATCATATTAGCATAGGGAAATAAAATTATTTCTAAACGAACTCCAGTGTAAAGGAATTAGTTACAGTATCAGTGGTAGTAGGAAACATTACGTAAAAAAGAGAAAAGAATATATTATATAAATTAGAAACAGAAGCGAGTGCACCTAACCTGTTGCGAACGATTTTGAACCATGACACTCAAAGTATCTAACAATTGTTTAAGATAATGACGTGGAAATCAACCACGTAATTCGCACCTACTTACGTCGCTCAGTTCGACAGTCAGCATCTTTATGGACTGATGCCATCCACATCTTGCTTTCGCTACCTCTAACTTATTTACAACCTACTCCAACATCTGACATCTCTTAACAAGGTAGACGATATTCGGGCATATGGAAAACAAACTAAACTGATAAAGATTTATTACTTTACCAACTGATTTGCCTAGTAGACTCCCCCTCCCCCCCACTACTCACTTGGTAGCCCCAAAACACACAAACCATGCTCCGGAAATACTTATGATCAAATAATAGTACCCTGTGAATATACTCTATTTTTAACGAATATGTTTCACATTCATAGAGCAGAACGGATAGAACTGCTACATAGTAAACTTGTCCTTTACATGACAGATAGATATTTCGCCTAAGCGATAAGTGACACAAGCTGGCTGACGCCAACTGAGATTCTGTTAGGCACAAGTTAAGCGTGAGATTTTAGAGTCTAAGCTAATGGAACCTATTGTTCTACCTGACACATGATTCGAGTATTGAAGGCCCCTAATCATAAGCATCATAAAATAAACGTCTAAGATACAATACTAAGTTCATAATAGAAACAGTTAGCATTTCTGAGAATAACTAAGCAGAACAAGAGAAAACATATGCAACAATTTACTGAAATGTACAAGTACTCAAAATGTGAAGTGTAAGACTAAACAAGTCAAACTGAAAACTGTTTTGCAGTTACATATCGATCTATAGATAAACGACACACTCGTTAGTAAACAAAAAATACTCGCTGAGGCAATAAAGACTAAAAGATTAGTTCAGCGAAGAGTTTTCTTCTCTGTAAAGTTATCCTCAAAGTTTTACAGTTGCAAATATTTACTTTTATTTACCTGGTAATAATTTGAATAATAGTGACAATGAAAATTTTGTCAAACATGGTAATAGTGAAGCGAATACGAAGTATTTTTAGTTCCAAATCTGTGTGTTTATCAATTTACCTGTTCACGTGGAGCTAGGTACATAGGTCGTCCGATGCATGTTTTATCCGACAGAGTTCGAGAACACTATACAGCTTGGGTGAAAAGAGGAGGAGACAGCTAAACAGAAAGCTTAATACTTGAAAACCTAGTGAACACAGATCATTCGATCAAGACTGATTCTGCGTTTAAATTCATCCATTAGGTAAGTAGAAAGCTGCAAAGACCTTCTGATTCCAACTGATTTGTTTCTCGTGATTACAATTCATCTCAATTTGAATATTTTATCTTACCACACTGATCCTACCCTTTTTGATTAGGATTCCTTCATCAATCTACATGATGAATATTCAAGCTCTCGACAACAACATCATTATTGATTCACTTAATCAAACTAAAGTTTTATATTTTTGTCCAACTCGCTTCGTTATTACCATATTTAACAAAATTTTTATTATCACTATTATTGAAACAAAAGTAAATATTTGCAACTGTACAGGTTTGAGGATGATTCGTTGAAGATATCAATACTAAGTTGAAAAATAATCTGTACGAATTATTTAAACTGATACATTTATTCGCAAAACATGGTAAAATATAATAAAAAAAATTGTATACCTTCCAGTATGATGACAATATTCTCTATCAAATGATAATTCATCAAGTGTTTCCGAATCCGATAATGATAACATTGAATAATCTTTCCATGCTTGATATAAACCGTCAGGATTTGGTATAAGAATAAATGTAATCATAGCGGAATTAAGTAAATTATGTACAGCTAATTGACTATTACGATTATCACATAGGAAATTTAAAAAATGTATCAATAATTGAGGTGTTAATCGATCATGACCATGTAGATTACCAATAATAGCTATTTTTGGTAGATGTTTCATTGAATTATTTAAAAGATCTGTGCCATTGGTTACACCGAAAAGAAATTCTGAATCCATCATGGTATTTGGATTGTTAGTAGTTGTAGATGTTTTTAGATTAGCTTCATTGAATTTCAAAGTGGTGTATTTAGGACCAATTTGAAATGCATAAATAGGTCTACCCTGAGAAGTGAATTAAACAATGAAAGTAAATAAAACAGATATCATTGTACCATAGAATTTACTGTACAATTTTTTTTTTCATATTAACGAATGATATTAATTCAATTTGTATTTAATAGAACTGATGATTATGTTGTACGACAATATACAATGAGAATACAATGAATAACACGAACGAATAACGAATACAAGTACACCATTCACTTATTATTACATGACTTATAATTGCCAAAAAAACTCATTCATGTTATAAAATTACACACACGATTGTAATGTACTTGGCATTAGACTGTGACGATATTTAATCATTTACATAGATTCATTAAACAAATAAAAAAAGAAGAGAAGACGTGACCAGTGGAATTCAAGCCTGTCGGGTGTATGCAGTGACTACCAAAGGCAAATGGATAAGGTCGCGCAAAATCCGTAGATCAATCAGAGTTAGGCATTAACACCACTGGATGCCAGTCGAGTGGTCCAGAGGTTAGGCGTTCGCGCACAAGACCGAAGGTCCCGGGTTCGAATCCTGCGAGGAGCAGGAGTCGTGGATGCGCACTGCTGATGAGTCCGATACCAGGACAAAACGGCCGTCCAGTGCTTCCGGGTTTCCAATGGTGGTCTAACAATGATTGATTGATTGATGATTTCAAATGTATAAAAACACTAATCTCCATAACTCCAAAGAGATTACCTTAAACCAAATAACTAGATGAAGCAAACAAAATTCAACATTCAACAATTTGAAGTATAGATATTTAATTTAGGTTTATCTTTATTAGTATCATAAAACTTCAGATATATAGAATATTTACATACGCTATGCAAATACAATATGGTAGTATTATTTATTATAATCATTTAAAAAGGCCATTTGATAGGCTCTGAAGTAATACATGTCATACGTTAGAGATTGAAATCGATGTGTCAATAAGCCGGTTAAAATGTAGTACATATTGCTTTTCAATATACTAGGATCGCTTAGTATTCATCAGTTTATAGGATTTAATAAATGAATTTTATTGAAATTGCGATAACATGTGCAAATTAAGTAACAATGAGGGCTCATTTACCTAACTGATATGATGCTGAAGAATAAAGTCTCACATATAAGTTCAAACTAGTTGAAGGGTGAGTGACCTACACATTGATTTCTTTCAATGGCCTATAACATTTTACCATGTTTATTTTCTGTTATTATTATTATTATTATTATTATTTTGTATAATAGTATGTTATTTATATTGCATTAGAAAATTAATTCTTCTACAATCAATATCAAGAGACCTTTTGTACAAAATGAATTTCTTACTTTCAAATGAATGAGCAAATAAGAAGGAAATAGACTTAGTCTGGTTTATTGTTTGTAAATTGAAGTTTCAAATAATTAGCTTAGTACAATCATATTACTAATAATATGTGAACTAGAACTATTTATGACGGAAAATGAAGTAAAAGAAACATCACTGAAAAAAGTAGAATTTATCACAACATTAGAGTGCGATCTAGAAGACAACATCATAATTACAGCGAATTTAACGTTAAAGATCATAAATTGCATAGAATTTTGTTGCATACAACATAATCTGTAAATTATAGGGTTGTGAAGATTAGTATGTTCCAATGAAATCATGAGTCGATCAGTGTTAGACTAATGTTAGAAACCTAGAAACATTGGATGGGTGTTTCGTCTAAACATGGAGACTTATCAGCAATGTGCATCGATGAGTCTGCAATCAGGAATCGAACTCAAGACCTTCAGCCTCGTGCGCGAACGCCTAACATCTGGACCACTGAGCTGGCATCCATCCGTGCTGACGCTTAACGTAAATCGATTCACGATAGAATAGAATGTCAATAGTAAAGTAACACTTTTATGCAAATATTCACTGGATTTATTGTGTTAGCAATCAGTTAATTATGAACAAAGCAATCAACTTTTTCAACTAAACATTACAATTGTTTTGTGGATACCGACTAGTAAGTCTACATCTACAGATACAATGTTAATCAAGTGATGAATTGATGTCTAACGTTAGTTCATCCTCCATCACGAGTCATTTCTCTCAGTGGGCTAATTGGACGTCGGCTAAATGATAGTCACACGCTAGTAGCCAAGATTTGGTTTTCTTTCCTAAAGAATGACAAATGCAACACTGGTTGGACAATATATATATATATATATATATATATATATATATATATCCTAGGACAGTCAAGCAAGCAGTGGTATAGTTAGGAAACGAGTACCAGGTAGAGATGGCAAATCAGTTGATGAAGTAATGAAACGTCTTCAGTTGAGGTGGTTGTAACGTGTTACGTATGCCCAACAACCGACTGCTTCGAAGAACGATGTTATGTGGGGTAAGAGTAGGTTAGAAGAAAGTTAGGGGAGGCCAAACCAAAACATGGCACAAATCCTTGAAGTCACTGACAAGTGGACTGAGTCATGTTGGTAGATATAGGCTACCTGGTTGGGGTCCGCGAGACGAAAGTAACCGATGGTTAGAAACCTTGAATGACATGGTTCAAAATCGTTTGGAATGGCGCAGGTGCATCCACACTTTGTGTTCTATCAAATCCTAATCTTCAGAATTCCTCATCATCTCTATCTTTCTAAAGTTATCTCACTGAACAATATCTTCGAACCTTAATCTTCTCCATTACTGCTAACACTTCTACTATCTCTACCACTATGGGATTTGAACTGACAGTTGCGTCTCTGTGCTGGTGAGGTATAGCAAACTGAACTTACGTACTCATGTACGAAGTTCTACGTTGTAACTGACTGATATATATATATATTTTCCGCAACGTGATTTAACCCATAAGCTTCCGTTTTCTTCATGATCTCAGCTAAGTGACTGGTTGGACATGAGTACAGAAAGTATGTGTTTCTAAATCAGGATAGGAAATTACACAACAAAACACCTACTTTTATGTTGACTAGCACAGTACGTTGGCGTAAAAAATAGTTTACTGAAAACTAATTTTTAAAAAAAATCAGAGCACATATGCAATCTTGATTTATCATAAATCTAATCTCAGGATATCCAAGCTACAAATTTGACAAGTATCAATAATTATTTTTCCCAAATTCTAAGTTAATTTCTTCAAAATGTCTAAATCACTTGCAATAGCAAAACTTTTCCACTGACACACGCACACACACACATACAGCACACTCTCTATTCGATAATGCAACTAATAAAGAGACATTTGTAGAGCCATCTCCGTTTTTGGATAGATGTCTTATAAAAATTCACATCGGATTACGATATATATAATTCTGAATAATATATATATATATATAAGACGTACTATTATTTTAATGCGATCACATGTATGACTACGTGGAATACGAACTTAATTTAAAGAAATAATAAAAAGCAACAAAAGAAGATTGAAAGAATACATGTGATTCAGTGACACATACATATTCAAATTGACAAGCATGTATAAATGTATATTAGCACATCAAGAGGAAAACCTATTTACAATACATTTTTACCTACAAAAACATGCATAATAAAAAATAAAAGACTAAAGTGGAACTTTGAGACAATTGTAAAGAGTAAGTAGATTTTTTAGAGAATTATTCTTTCGAAAAGAAATCAATATTTTTTTTGGATAAAAAATTAGTAGAGATTGTCAAATTTTATAGTTTATATCTTTGATGCCATAGCATGGTCGTTCGCGGATGCGCGTTGTTCAAGATTCCCAGCTGTGCGATAGTTTTCTAAGATCAGTCTCCATGATGTAAATTATCAATTTATTTCTTACATTGCTATCATGGTAGAACCCATTTTTTATAACAAACAACTAGACGAATGAAATAACAGTGTAGTCGTTGCTACTTATTAGAAATTAGTTAGTCGTTCAACTTCCGGACTAACTTAAATCAATTACAACTTTATGCGTATGGTGAAGCCTTCCGTAATAACATAGAATGAGATAATTAATCACAAAATAAAGATTAACTTGAATACCCTGCGGAACTACTTTTGATCAAGCAAACAGTTTCCGTAATGAATAGCTCTGAGAAAGATGCACCCGATAACAACGCAAAACATGAACCGACAATGTACTGGTTCATATTGCTGAAGTTTAAAACAGACCGAGGAAAGAGGAAAAGCAAAGAAGCCGAATCAATGATATCGGTCGTAATCAAAAGATAAACATAATGAAAATACTTAAAGAATGCATAGGATAGAAAAGAATCAAAGGTACTGAATACCAATGAGATCAAAATACAAAAGATGAGAGACTAACATAACACCATCACCATCACAGCAGAATTAACTTGTTAGTTATGTTTACTCAAAGTCTTTCAAAATTCTAACGATAAACCGTAACTGGTGGGATTAATCACGTCTTGTGTAAGACAACATACTTTCTCTCTATTTCTTTCTTTGAGACATCAAAATCTAGCTAAACAGTTAAAAAGCAACTCTTCCATTCCAATTCAATTCAAAGTCTTAGATTTGATCACTGATAGAATGATTATGGGTGAATACTGCTAAAAAAAATCCACCAGTAGGATGAGAACGTTTCTTAGTGCTCCTTAGTTCTCAATCATTCTCCAGTTTACTGTGGCCTATGACAAAAATGTTTACTCAATGCGAAAAATATTAAAAATTAGTCTATAAAGGAATAAAATGTATCAATTAAACGATAGGTTTTCTAGATTTGGATAAGTAATGACTTTGATTCATATCACTTTAATGTATATCTTTGTAGATAATGTTGAAATAAACAAGTCAATGTGAATATATTGACTTACTAAACGCGACTGCCCAATCGAAAACATTTTACCACATGTAGAATTAAATGATTCAACAGTATGCTTACGCATATGATCATAAATATCATCTGGACCGTTGAAATTAATTTCATTCAATTCCCTTTCAAGACGAATATGTGATCTTCCATTAAAACGATCCACATGAAATGAAAGAGCCATAGCTACTTGTTCGTAAGCATTATTAACAGTGGAATTTTCCGGTCCAGCCGAAGCGAACATAAGATATGTACCTAAAATAGTTATAAAGAAATTATTGAAAATTTATTGCAAATTACTCCGTGACCTAACCTTAATTAATCAATTGGCTCTTAAGTAACAACTTACAAACTTACATTCAATGAGACGTAGGTGTATTGTAACTTAATAGCCTGATAGAAAACATTTTGATATTTTTTGGATGACATGTAAGTTTCAGTTTCTTTCCGAACACTGAAACCTATCTAAAAAAAATTGCTTCATCAGCTGATGAGCCTAAATTGGATGAGACGCGAGTCGTAAATTCAACGGTTAGTTAACATGACACATAACCTAATTATGACGTGATAAAGTGTGCAGTACAAATTTTGTTCCTTGTTTATCTGTTCCTTTCGAAATATATATTTTACTAACAAATTTTATATTAATAGTGACAATTGATTACATTCAAATTACATGTTAAGTAACCAACGAAAAAAGTAACTGTAAGATGATTACCTGGAGGAATAAGTTCGCAAAAACGACCATTTGAAGAGTTGATTTTCACGGACAACCACGTACTACTATTGTTATTACTACTAATTAAATTATCATTGTCAGACTTATTCGATTGTTGAAAAAAATACATTGCAGGTTGTAAAATAATTTGTAAACTTGGAACTACAACCCAACGACGGTGTTCGATTAAACGAGTTACTAGATCTGAAGTTAATGGACCAGATTCAATCAAAATTTGACCACAAAATGATACTGAAATGATAAACACACACACACACACAACAAAAATAAGATTTATAAGCAGTGCAAGAAAACGAATACATATATGCATAATGTGCATCGGTTCAAGTTGTCATTGTTGCATTGAATATAGTAGGATGAAATCATCAAGACAAATTCCAGCATAGGAGAAGTACTAATGCCATCAGTAAACTGAATAAGAGATTTAGCATAGAAGATATAATTCAAATAGATAAACTTAGACATTTTAAAATAATTCATTCTTATGACTGTTGAAAGCATATTTATAGAAATGAAAAAAACAAACAAACAAGAATTAGTTCTTAGCCAAAAGGTTATAAAAACTAGTAAGCATTAAACAATAATTGTTTTATTTCAGGGGACTCTACAACACCAACCAGCACTCATCCACGATACTATTAGGAACAGAAATTTAAAGCATGGAAGCTGCGTTACGATCATCACTGGGTTCTTATCCAATCACGTGATTATGCTGTCCAAAACAAACAGTTTCACTACTATGTTCAGTTGTGATTTATTTGTAATGGATACGGAAAGTTATGAAAAACACTAACACTTAAGATCAGAAATCTCACTGAGACAAACAATTAAAACATAGCAACAGTGGATAGATGTTTAGTCAGTGTATAGAACTTCTAAGCAGAGAGCATCCACATCCTCTTCCTCACATTCACGTTCTAGTGAAAGGCGTAGCCAGTAAAGTACAACCGTGTCGAGTGTAAGAAAGATAATGGAAGATAGACACAATACCGCAGAGAATTTGAAGTTAGATATTGAGACTATTGAACAACAGTTCAGTGATCCACAAGGTGGGCAAAAAGCTTTAAAGTCGAACTCCGAGATGGTGGCGTTGTGGATGCTGAGTAGTCACATAATACAACGAAACAGATGTCTAGCGCTTCCAAGTTTTCAAAAGATATTTAACTTAGAACAGTTCATGATATATATATAAATACTAATATGTAACTGGAAGCAACTGCAAAAATATTTCACATTCTCTTCAAGAAGATTTGGGATGAGGAACAAGTACCTTCAGACTGGAAAGAAGGATACCTCTTCAAAATACCAAAGAAAAGCGATCTAAGCAAGTGTGAGAACTACAGAGCCATCACTCTTCTCTCAATACCAGGCAAAGTCTTCAACAGGGTATTGTTAAACAGAATGAAGGACTTCGTAGACGCCCAACTTCGAGATCAACAGGCTGGATTTCGTAAGGATCGATCATGTACTGACTAAATCGCTTCATTACGGATCATTGTGGAACAATCAATTGAATAGAACTCACCATTCCACATCAACTTCATTGAATACGGGAAAGCATTTGATAGCGTGGGAAAGACAATACTATTGAGGCTTCGTCGACACTACGGCGTTTCTGAGAAGATGGCCAACATCACAAGGAATTTTTATGATGGATTAGACTGCAAAATCGTGAACGGAGGTCAGCTGACAAACTCGTTCGAGGTGAAGACCGGTGTCAGGCAAGGTTGCTTACTCTCACCCTTACTCTTTCTCCTGGTGATCGACTGGATTATGAAGACGTCGACATCTGGAGGGAAGCACGGTATCAACTGGACAGTTAGGACGCAGATGGACGATCTGAACTTCGCAGATGATCTGGCTCTTCTATGTCACACGCAACAAGAAATGCAAGAGAAGACAACCAGTGTAGCAGCAGCCTCTGCAGCAGTAGGTCTCAACATAAATAAAAGGAAAAGTAAGATTCTACGGTGCAACACTACATGTGTCAACCAAATCACGCTTGGAGATTCTTTGGACGTTGACACCTTTACATATCTTGGCAGCATCATCGACAACCAAGGTGGATCCGATGCACATGTGAGGGCGCGGATTGGCAAAGCAAGGGCTGCATTTCTACAGTTGAAAAATATCTGGAACTCCAAACAAATATCAATCAACACCAAAATCGGGATTTTCAATACAAATGTCAAGACAGTTCTACTGTATGGAGCGGGAACTTGGAGAACTACGAAAGCCATCATCCAGAAGATACAAGTATTCATTAACAGTTTTCTACGCTAAATACTTCGGATTCGTTGGCCAGACACTATCAGCAACAATCTACTGTGGGAGAGGACAAACCAGATTTCAGTGGAGGAGGAAATCAGGAAGAAGAATTGGAAGTGGATAGGACATACACTACGAAAAGCACCTAACTGCGTCACAAGACAAGCCGTCACATGGAACCCCCAAGGTCAAAGGAAAGGAGGTAGGCCAAGGAACACATTACGCCGAGACACAGAGAGACATGAGAAGAATGAATAAAAACTGGAAAGAACTAGAAATGGAAGCCCAGGACAGAGTTGGTTAGAGAAAACTGGTGGACGGCCTATGCTCCATTGGGGGGTAACAGGCGTAATTAAGTAAGTAAGTAAGTAAGTAATATGTAACTGATTGCGCTTTAAAATGATACTGAAAATAGAGATTTGATTGACCTTATAAGTTGTCAGTTTTAATAACAGCAACATACTGTGTAATTTTAATATGTGATCTACAGTGATAAAAATTAAACTCTGAAGATAAACAAATCAAATGATTTTATTTGAATATTCTTGCAAAAAAAATATATCAAAATTAACTGAAAGCACCAAGGAATGTTAGTTTGTGCATGTCTATTATTAATAAAATTACAATACTCTTACGCATAAAACGATAAGCACCACTTAAAATGACAAATGACTGATAATAACATTTTTTATAAAAATCAATTATTTTGTTAACTAATAAGTAACTAAATGATGCTTGGAAACTATCTATTTACTTCTATGTACACATAAAAAGGCTAAGAAATTCCACGGAATTAAGTAGTCATGGGATACCATGTACATAAAGATGAAGAATTAAAGACAAGAGGTTGTTTAAAAAACTATTTTTCTCCAAATCTAATCTAATCTAATTATAGTAATAGACATTGAACATTGGAAGTAATATATACATATATATATATATGACATTTATGAGTTTAGATTTGAATTATCATGTAGTTCAATATTCAAGACTGAATCTTGATTAGCCGTAGTTGACCTATGTGAATGGATCTGAGCAGATTTCTTTGATATATAGCCATTTCGTCACAAGTTTTTTTAAAGCAAAGATGGATTATTAGTAAATCTTACATCAGTTATTGTACAAAAACAACATGCATGCTGAAAAAGTCACTAGCTACCTAGATTCACTAGCACAATAGATAACGGTCTAAAATGAAAGGTAGTGAATTCGAATCTCAATGTGAACATAAGTGATGGAATATGCACATATCCAGATTACTAATCTTAAACAGGATAAAACGAGCATTTTGGATATAACTGCTAGTCAAAATCCATCTGTTTTATACTCGAATTATGATTTTTAGGCAACGAAAATCAAACAAGTTAATGGAAAAATAGAGGATACATTGAATGAAACTGTTGGCGTATGTGTTCATGTAACACATTGATATAGTCAAAAGAATGGCATTCACAAAAAGAAGTAAAATGACTAATAACGGCTCGGAATGTGTTTTTACAGATTGATTGGGATTGATTAGTACGCTAAACGGATGTTTATAAGTAGTATACTAAGATTATTCAAAGTTGTAGTGCAGATTGTACTAAGTTTCCTGATTAATTACTACACATGATTTACAATTCATTTGAATTCGACCAGTATTGTTTAACCTCACTTGAATGCTCCAGTCAGAAAATGAGCACCTCCAATTCATGGCATGAATAGAATTAAAGTGTAAACAATTTCAGATTAGCTATATCACATTATATTGGATTTCATAGTACACATACCTAAGATGTGCGATTGCTACTTTCTTCTCATAACCGATGAATATTTTTAAACTGTGCATTGATTAAAATAAACTTACACAAATGTTTAAAATTATGGTGAAACAAAAATAAAGAAATTTGAGAATCATTGAAATCTAAGTAATTCACTAGCTATTAGGTGGGTTGATTTCAAATTACATTTTATGCATGATAGCTTGTGATATTATCAGCTACTACAAATGGAAATGGAATCTGAACTATCTAATCTATGGCAATCATAAATTAATAGCAACGTAGAACTTCAAACGTAAGTGAATCAGTTCAAGTAACCATACGACATCAATTTAAATCCCACATTAGTAGAGGTAGTAAAAGTATTAGCAGTAGTCGGAGAGATGAAGGTTCGAAGATGTTATTTAAGAAGTAGTGAACTAGTGAACTAAACTTAAAAATAAAAAAAGAAAAAGTGATGAGTAATTTAGAAGATTACAATTTGAGAGAACACAAAGAATGAGTGCACCTGCGTCATTGCAAACGGTTTTGAGCCATGTCATTTAGGATCTGGAACCATCGATTACTACCTGATTAATAGGTGCAAGTTCAAAAGTTCTAATCATTAAGATACCATCTAAACACATTAACTCTTTGGACCGATAAAAACTAAGTTACCTAGATAGATATTTATAAATTTTTAGTATAAACTTACAATTTCGAACAGCTGAAAATAATCTATTCAAACTAATCAGCATAGAATGCCATAGTTCCGGTAATTGTTGCGCATCTAAATATGAACAATTCGATAGATGATGAGGATGACAACTTGTGCCCAGACGTAAAATAAAAGGTTCATTATTATTATTGTTATTATCATTGATTTCTGCTGTTTGATCGTTATTACTGGAGGTTACAGGCGAAGAATATGGGGAAGTGGACAATGACGGTGAAGTGAACAAATTCAACAGACGTTTTTCAGAATACGCTAATAACATTTTTTATAAAAAAAAAACAAAATAGAGAGATATACAAAAAATATAATTGGTACAATGAATAAAATCAAAAAAAAGAAATACAACAAAATGAGAACGAAAAGCAAACAAAACTCATGCTCTTCGGTCTATCTTACCGACAACACGTTTTTCTATGTGATGGGCAATTATAGAATGTCAACTGTTTATTTGAGTTAGTTAGGCATAATGTACATCAAAAGATTAATGGATATTGTCAATATTTAGCTATGGTTAAATCATCCGACTTCTAAATCAGCTTTGCTTCACTTGATGACACTTGAACAACCATGTAATAGTACTATTCTTCAGTTAAAAAGTACACCTCAGAACCGACTATGTAAACCCACATTTGATAAATAACTAACTTACTGATTCTTTTGTTAAAAGGTTTTTCGACAGCATTACTACCTAAACAGTTTCACATACTGTAAAATATGGAAGTATTTTGTGTTGCAAAAGAAACGGTAGTAACAATTTACCAGTAAAATTTCAGCTAGATATGTTATCTTTCAAGTTGCTTAATCAACTATTCATAAACAAATTGGTAACTACGAGAACAATATGAATATACATAAGACAGTTAACCCATAAAATTGCACGTAGTAATGTTTATACTGTTAAGGAGTCGCAGAATACAACGAAACAGTGAACTTGATGAAAGAAACAAGTCTGGTAGTTAAGCCCTAACTTCATGAGGATACGAGTGACCTATAAAACTGATGTATCATTCAGAAGCTTTTTGTCAAATGACATATGATATTGTTGAATTCAATGTTTAGTGTTTTGTAAATAAGCATGTCGATTTATCCGTATAAACTTATTCTACTGACTAGTTGTGTCATTTTTTTAAATCAGTTCATCTGGCGTGGCAGTTGATAATTTGACCTTGACCATATCGTATTATTGTATCTGAATAAACCGCAGTAAGAATCCAAATGCATTTGTAGTTCTTACACAGAAAATGTGACGTAACTCGGTATAATAAATTGAAGCATGCTGTCACGGATCAATATGAACAATGGCAAATAGAAAAGATACATAAAGTTTACGAAATGCAGTGTTCGTCAAACATGGACGCTTCATTTTCTTCTAGACAATACCGTTCAGCAAAATAATCAAAGCTTCATAACTAAACAATCAATGACAAGACACAATCCCTAAAAGTTGAACGTACTACTTTAGAAGTAATTATTTTGGAACATTGGATAATAAACGCAACACTGAAATCTTACCTTCTTATGAAAACCACATTTAAAATTAAGACATACATGCATAACTTGGTGGAAGTATATTTTTTTCACTGTAGGGTAGTGGAGATTGTTGAGTGTCATTGAAATCATGAATCGATCAATTTTAGACCACCATTAGAAACGTGGTAGCACTGGACTGCAGGCTCAGTGGTTTAGATGTTTGTGTGCAAGACCGAAGGTCCTGAGTCCGATTTTCGCGAGCTGGGGTCGCAGAGGTATTGTACACATGTATGTGTAAAAGATCCCCAACATTGCTTATTTGACCAAGATATTAAAAAGTATACTTGAATAAATTGTAATTTTAATGTGTCACCTAAAGGTCAAAAGTCGAACATGTTTTCCAAAATGTAAATGAACTTGAACCCACTTTATATTTACATACAATGGAAATTTTAAAAAAAGGGGAGCAATTAATTTTTTTTTAAAAACAAATACACGTACAAATACTTTCCGAATTCTGTGATGTTTCAGTACAATAGAATGACTGGTTAGTAGGACATTTCGCTAACGAAGTGAAACCAATGGCTAAATTATGAAATAGATCAATATTTGAAATTTCTTTGCTGAAATCTTTTGGTATATGAATTGCAGTAAGAGGTAGTTGTTGGTGTCTTTGGAAATCATCATCTATTGAACAGTTTATTGAATTGTTAGATTCAAGGGATACAACTAAGTGTGGTTGAAATTGACGAGTTATCTTTTGAAAATGTTCATTATCAAATATCGGATCCTTGAATCGAGAAAAAAAGTAGGGGAATATATAAATATGATAGATAAATTAATGAACATATAAATGGTGAAAAATAATTAAACTGAGCAAACAATTCTATTGGCAAAGATTGACATAAAAACAATGCGAAAATATCATTTAAATACACACACGCATACATAGATCAGTGAAAAAAAATAGATTATTGGTACAGCTCTCATTAAAACAAAACTGAAACCATTAAAAAGAAACAAACCAAAAGAAAACATATTTGCTGTTCACAAATCTTGATGATACCCACAGATATCAGAGGTACAAATTGTTGTTACGTGTCTAAACTACCGTATATATATATATATATATATATATATATATATATATATATATATATATATATATATAGAGAGAGAGAGAGAGAGAGAGAGAGAGAGAATTATTGATCAGCGAGTTGCAAGCGATATCCTATATGTCTAGACCTGAGTATCGATTGAATTCCATTGGCTTACCACTGAGTTGAACTCTTTAAAACAAATCCCTTAAATTTGCTAATAGTTATAATATTTTTGATTAGCTACACCATCACGTACGTATTGTACAATAGCTTTTTTATTTCTAACCTAATCTAAACTGTGAGCTTATGCAACATTCTTACATATCTCTCTGTCATGATACACTTGGTGTTATTTGACATCTTTTGAGGGTAAATACCATTGGGGAACATAGGACATAAAGTCTCCACAGTTATACCTTTAATTTATTTATAATCAGATTTTGTAGTTGTCACTAACTAGATCCAAGATGAAACTCCTAGAGCTGTAGTGAGAAGCCGCGACCAGCGCAGTTCAACAATGTCGGGTGTGTGTGGGACAGTGATCTACCGCAGTCAATGAGTGAAGGTTACCAAATAACGTGAATTGATTGAACAATAACAAAGTTGGATACCAGTTTGTTGGTGTAGAAGTTAGGCGTTCGCACGTACGATTCCATCGCTAATGGTGGGTCGTGGATGCGCACCAATGGGGGGTCTCATACTAGGACAAAACGGTCGTCCAGTACCTCCGGCTTTTCAATAGTAGTCTAGCTGCGATCAGATCGTGATTTAAACTGTGAGGATAACCATAAACAATGCTCTGAGAAGCCTATACTTGTAATATATTAATATTTTGGCATGTTTGATGGTTGTATGGTAATCGTAAAGCAAAAAAGGATTCCAATATACATGAATATATCATAAACCTAGCTTTTTATTGAATCTTGCATATTTATATGCATGTTATCAAGAGGAAGCTGTTGGCTTACATTTCATATCAGCTAGCATTCGTCATCAATAAGTACTATTTACAATCTATAATAAACTGAAGCTTCTTGAGAGATTCGGATAAGCCTTACCCAATGTAATGATCAGGCAGTGTTACCACTAAGCTAATTGAGTCATAAATTGTCATTATTTTATGTTGTACTGACATCTTTTCACATTATTTAATCATTATGCAGTAAATAATTTCATATTTTGTAAGACTTTGCAATTTGATCGATGGAATATGAAATGAAATATTGAAAAAAACTAAACATCGCATTGATCATTATCATGTGAATAGATTAATAAAGAAGTCAGGGTATTAAAAAAAGGGAAGAGTTGGCTATTGTATGGTCATTAAAAGTTGGATTAATTTTGGAAAAGCGATAAAGTATTGAAACATTTTTTTAAAAAAAATTAATGAACGTCCCTTAGAGTTGTTCATCATTCAATGCAGACTATCATTTGATCAATTTTTTATTTAGAAAAAACATTAGCTGAACATATTAATATACATCCTACTAATCAATCATACCTAATTCTAACGGGTTAGTTATAAGTTCAATTTGTTCATCATTCATAATAAATGTTTTGCTGATACGTGCACATACAATTGTTTCGTTTTACAAAAAAAACCAAACAAAGAAGCATTCAACAACATGCCCTAAACCACAAATTCAAAAATGCAAAAACACATTTAAAATAAACAAAAATAAACCAAAGAAAATGAAAAGTAATTAACGCAAAAATCGGCAATATTGTTTACAATTGATGCTACGATACAACCTGTGATGAGAGGAAAAATATGAAAACAATATGACTATTATTTTAGCAAGCAAATTAAAAAGGAACGAATCAAGAATATGTTGAGATTAACAAAAACAGGATTCTAATAATTGAACAAAATATCAGGCAGTAGTTGCTCTGTGGGTGGGTAATGAAATGATGAGGATGATCGAATGCTAGTAACCTACAAATATCGTCTACTCCAACTGGCCATGTTTCGCATCGATATAGTAGAACGGAGCGAACTACTGCACAGTAGACTCGACCTTTGGTTAGCGAACGGATATCTCGCCTACGCCATAAATGACGTACAATGGGCAAAAGCCAATCGAGCCTTATGTATCCGTGCTCATATTTCGTCAGTCACCAGGCCATCAGCGCTGATAGCGCTGTTTATTCAAACGTTACTAACAGGTGAAAATTAAGAGTTAATCACTTACACAGACTATCAGTTAACAATTGAAAAAATCATCAAGATTTATACCAATGATTTAGAAAATAATAAACATTCTCAACCTATTAATGACAGCAAGTATACATATAATATACACACAAAATAATATTACATAGTAGATAAAAAAAAGCTCACCAAATGATTAGCAGTATTATATTCTGAAGAAAATTTACAATTGTTTTGATGTTGGTCAATTGAATTTTGTTTTTGTTTTGCATTAGATAATGATTCATGAATACCAAATGGATCTAAATATGGAAATATTAATAATTGACTAGTTGCTAAAAGACGCCAAATATCCGAACTTGAAGCAGATAAACCTAAGGAGAAAAAAATTTAAAAATAAAATGGATTTAATTGAACTCATCTAGACAAGTTAATGCATGAAGTAATAATCACTAAGAAAATATTCATAAGGATTAAATTCTGTCTACATAAGTAAGTTCTTGCATAGTTGTAAGTTATCTTGAATTGAGAATGTATATTATACTGACATGCTATCTTAGCTGGAAGCCTTATCACATCAAACGAATTTTTTCAGCGAGTTTCGAATTCCCTGGTGGTATCGTATCGCAAACTATATTCAACTGTGAGGAAAGTTAGTCTTAAAAGTAGCTGACATTTCCCACAAATTGTTGGAATTAAAACAAAAAACATAACCCTAAACCCATAGGCTTTATTATGATGATGGATCTAGGATTTAAAAAGGTATACAGCTACAACAAAGAAATTAATTATGTACGATCAACCCCAAGTTGTTTGTCATATGAATCCCATCATCACACCTTTTTAGATCAACAAAAATTCCATTAGTTAATTCGATTTTTTCACATGTCGTTCATAAAAATATAATTTCATGTAGCGAAGAATTGAAAAGTTCCAATAATAAGCTGAACAACAAAGATAATATCCAGGTTTATTTGATTCCAACATTAAACTGTTATTGATTCACAGCGCTTTTTTCTCATGGAGAGTAAGAACAGAGAATTGAACAGGACATACATAAATACTTGTTATTATTTCATTAGGATTTCATCATTTGCATACAACCTATAATATTTTTAAAAACCTGAATTATTGTAAAGTTTGCATACTTGTAACAGTAACATTGCATATGTATCACCATAGTAGCGTAATGAAATTACAGACATGATGTTGTAAACAAATATGATATGTGAGAGAAGATTCTGAATCATTAGACACATTAACAAGAAATTATAGAGCTGAAAACTAAATAATTATGTAATGAAGTAGTTGAAGGCAAATTAACACAAATTAAGAATAACATAAGTTGAGATCAGTTAGTTAAAAATAAAGTTTTGGATTTGAAAGGAATGATGTGTAGCGCATTCGAAATCTTACTCTAGCAACTTCTAGTTTTAATTCTTTAATTCTGGTTGCTGTCTATTGATTTCTCGATTAAATGTAAGTGCATTCTATGTGCTTACTGAGTCGTCGGTTCATCTTTTTCCTATATTCTTTCCTCTTCCAGATAATCTCACACGCTACTCCAACACACAAGGTACCTCCTGGCTAAACACAAACTAACCAAAGGCTGAAGTTACGGATATAACCAAAATAAGAGAGAAGAAGTTCCAAGAACTATTGAATAAACTGGCGATAAAGTAATTATCGGAAATATTTGCAACTGTTTCCTTTTAGATACATAAGTCCGGTTTTAGGCATTTGGTGGGTATGGGTTTGAAGAATTTGAGAAGAACAAAATTCACCTTCCAATCAACTCCATACTCAGATATTATTATGAATTAGACTAAGTTCCGGGGTCTATTTGAAAAGTATAATATTTCATAAAGTGTAAGATCTGACGATTTACATGTCATTAAGTAGAGTCCAGCAAGTTATATGACAGCAAACAAGCAGATAAAGAGAAGCGTTAAAACTGATAAGTGAAAATATGCAGATCAACAGAAGACTGGGACTAGTCTTTCACAACACACCTTGTGACTATTGCTCTTATTTCATCGAACTAACATAATTTTTCTTTCATGCCTTCAAATAGACCGTCTTAAAATGATCGAAAAGCCCTGAAAATTTGAAAAACTAAATGTGAAGTTGTATCTGGATTATGAAACTGTTTTGTAATACTAATTAGTGTTCTTGGCAGTTGTTCATAACAGATTAGATTAACAAAACAATAAAGATAACAAAAGTCATTATTATTATGAGTAGTAGTAGTAGTAGTAGTAGTAGTAGTAGTAGTAGTAGTAGTAGTAGTAGTAGTAGTAGTAGTAGTAGTAGTAGTAGTAGTAGTAGTAGTAGTAGTAGTAGTAGTAGTAGTAGTAGCAGTAGTAGTAGTAGTACCATTCACTATTCAAAGAATAAAGAACAGGAGAGCTTACCGGAATGTAAATGACGTAACAAACGAATAACTATTTCTGTAGAGACTAATTCTTTACTATTTAGACCAGCTAAAATGATAATACGTATTTTATCGAATTGAGGATATAATTTTATATCATTGCCATTATTATCATTATTATTTTTGTCATTATGAGCACTCATAGGCATAATCTGTGAATAATGAGGAAGTGAAAAACTAATGCCATAAATGGTTGACAATTTTTCACTGTTATAATCATTATTATGTTTATTAGCAAGGGTAGAAATGATTTTATTTGTTGAAGAAACAGTAATTTGATGTAGTGTAAAATATTTCTTCATTGAATATGATAAATTAGTGAACATAGTTTTGATTGTTTCGTCATAAGTTGATTCAGGTATGAATAAAGGTAAACGATTCAATGTGATATTGTAATCTAATTGACTAGACCATTCTGCTGATAATTGATTATCAGGCCATAAAGTGAAGTTTAACTGTTCACTTTGTGTCATTGGTACATAAGGTAGAAGGGATGCATTCACTTCATATTTGATTGAATCAAAATATCTGCAAGAAAACAAAACGATGTAATTGAAGTGTATGTACATATATTACTCATTATTGGGTACATCATAACATTGTAATTTCATAATACTTTTGGCTTTTTTTAACATATTAGTGATGGACACGAATAAGGCTCAGTTGGAAGAAATAAAATCTTAGACTTACGATTAAGTTGTAAAATATAAGTTCAAAAACTATACTAATCTACAACTGTACTATAATAATCTAGAACTCATAAACTACAAACCCATAATCAATTAGAACTACACGAACTCTTCATCCTTGAATTAAAAGAAATTAAAGAAAAAGTTTAAATATGACATTTTCATAAGGTGATATGAGGCCAGATTGGTTACAGTGGCGGAGTTGCAGCCATTCTCTCTCGGCCTCTAAATTTTAAGTCAAGTATCATCATCTATAACCTCTCATCCTTTGATAGCATTTGTTCTTGATACACTGGATTCTGCATATTCAAACTTTTATTGCTCTTCATACCACGCATTATTCGATGCTCCTTACTTTGTTGATTCAATTTGGTGTAGAGTATAGCGGCTTGGATCAATGCATACATATGCTGGGTTCTAGGTAGATAACGACTGACAGTCAGTCAGTCAGTCATTCAGTTACAATGTAAAATTTCGTACATACGTACATCAGCTCAAGTTGCCATACCACATTAGCGCGCATGCCAGGTTCTACGTATGTAAGGATTGACTGATTCCAATAATTTAATTTACTATGTTAGCCAAAAACAATAAATTGATATACTTAAATGTTACAACAACAATTATGAATCACGTAAAAAAATGGTAAAAAATCATGTGTTGTAAAATCATGAACAAATAAAAATTGTCAAGTATTATCATAATGGAAAAATTTGAATGAAGTCGAAATATGGATCTATAACTGTCTACCAACTGATTCCAACGATCGAACATTAAATTTAATACTGCTTTTCAATATCCAAAGTTAAGATTACAACAAAATAACAGTTAAAACATTTATCACTATTCCGCTTTTGATATTCAGAATAAATTACTAAACGGACATCTTGATTTCACCGACTTTTCAAACTTTCGATTAATTGATCGATCAAATTTCAGTCTAACATATCAAGAACTGTTCAGTAAAAACCTTTCAGAATTAAAATTGTACACAGTAAAATAGTTAGTAGCTACTCAATATGAGTCGCCCAATGGACAACGCGTTGGAGTTTGAATTACCAGGTACTGAGTTCGAGTCTCCATGTGGAAATCAACAAAAAGATGTACATACATTCACGTAACGATTTTTAAATAAACTGATTGATAATATTAACAGCTTCAGTAGCGATATTTTGTTAGTTTTAATGAGTTCAGATCCAGAGAAATTTGTGCATACAGATATAAGACTATCAGTCAGTATACAAAAACTATGGTGGAGTAATACTTTTTTATTTATTGAAAGTTTACGGTATACTCTGATAACACATTCAAATCTATTAAGAAACCGATTAAAAGTAGTCAATGACGACAAAGATCTCTTATTGACTTACATACAATCAGTCGTTAACATTTTAAATGGATAAGCTAGATGAAAATTAACCGAAAATAATGCTACGACAAGGTTATAATCACAGAACGTACACACAAATTAATTATGCTGTGAACCTGTATTGATTCATGCATCAGTACAAGTTTCAGAAGTGACTTTTGACTAATTCAACTCAGAGTTGATAATGTCCTTCAATAGATTAAAAAAAGCAAGTCTGAAGAGCTGTCTATTAGTAGGGTTCAGTTGAGGTGAGAATTTGACTTTTTTTGGCTAGAATAATTGAAATGATGAAATGAAAACATCTGTAAACCAATGAAATGACACAGAACATTCTAGTATTAAATAGATTTATTCATGTTATATTTCACTTCTGTGAACTTATTCCAATCTTTTATTGTCTTGTCCTCAATATTTATTTTTGAAGTTACGCTGATGAATGTACTTATTTCAATGACGTTCCTGAGACCAAGAAGCAATCTGAACTAATTTCGATATAAAATACGTGTTGATCACATATTAAACAACTACCTAGGACCTTAGAAATCAAATATTACAAAATTAAGTTTAGCAACGATTAGCCGACTCAGATACTTTACAGTCTTGATCCCTGAGATTTTAGATTCGGCATGAATAGCGGAATAGTGCTATTGATACTTTTAGAGTTATAGATAAAAGTGACTGTCATGTAATCCATCAATACTGATGAAAAACAAAATTACTACTCACCCAATTTTCGAAGCCCATACACGATATACACCAGTAGGTGGAATTAAACGCCAATAATCTCCATAGTATGGAGTAGAATTGACTAAATGACTTAAACCCTCCACATGTATCGAAGCTTTTCCGATTGGAAGTTTTGTCGATCCATCCAATACAAAACCACGTAAAGCTCGATGAACCTAAATTCAATTTTTACAGAAAGTCAATTTTCTATGTTGGGAAGGATTTAAGGGTTAAAATTAATGAACTAATATTTTCCGACAAATTTTTTCTGGCTTCTTACCTTTATTTAATGTTTACTCAAAAATCATTATCTAGATTTCCATTAGGATTTGTTTATCAGTGATTAGTAAAATATTTCATAACTTTTTTTTAGCAGTAATCCTTTCTATGAGAATAATATTGCTCAAGTTTACTCATTTCTCCTTTAACAGAAAATTTATTGAACAGGAAGAGTAGAAAACGTAATGAGGTTATTCTCCGAAACACTTTGTATATAATTCAAAAATCCTGATGAATCTTTTAAAGATTTTCTCTGTATAATTATCCGGATCTGCATCGAGCTCTCTTCAAGTTATTGGGGATCTAGATGCTTCCAATATCATATTCACAGAAAAACCCATGCAGCAATAGAAACATTGACCTATATAAGGGATTGTTCTCAAAAGAAAGTCTAAACACCAACCAGTGAATCCCATTTTATTCTAAACGGAATTTTGTTAGCTTTCTTTTGTTACCAGTCTTGTTTTAACCAGCTGTGAAAACTTGTTTTCATGAAATATTGTAGAGATTAGTTGTAATCCAGTTCAATCGATGTGAGAATAAAAACGATGTCTTTGTTGTGAATCACAAAGTTTTAAATAAAAATCCACGATATCCCACTTGATATGATGCAACTCTTTATTACAGATGGTTAACAGGCTTTCTATTTAACTAAACAAACTTTTAAACTCAACTTCAATATTAAAATATCTAGACTTGATTAAACTACATGTATTCGTTTATTGTACAGCAGTGATATCTGCAAGCAAGGTAGATCATAAAGTTAGGGAGAAACACTGAATCTCAGTAGCATTTACTAAACTGATAGATGCTCGGGAACTCATTCCATCTGGCTCCGAACATGATGAGGAGCGGAGTCAGCTTAAGTGAGGGCTGATAAGAAGCCTACACAATGATCGCGGACAGTGCTGGCTAGCGTAAGCACGAGAGATTGAAAAGGCAGCGGCAATAGGCAGCAGTAGACAGCTGTTCAGACTTATCAAGGAAACCGGAATTAGGAATCCTACTATAAGTGAGACTATCTTGGAAAAGAATGGGACTATTATTCATTCTCAATCCATGAGATTGGATCGATAGGCAGAACACTTTAGGGATCAGTTTAATAAAACTTCAGCCGTACTTCGGTTACCCACGATTTTCAGTAAACCTGATTGGCAAATCGATGTAAGTCCTCTGACTCTTGATGAAGTTGAAAAAGCTAAAGGAAATCTAATGCGAGAGAGAGTAGCAGGCCCTCAAAGGCTTACCCCTGAGATTTTTAAGGATGGTGGTTCAGTTTTAGCAGTTTGATTTAGTGAGATCTTAGGCAGAATTTTCGAAATGGACGTAATCCTATCTGACTAGTCTTAATCCCTGATTGTCCCAGTCTATAAGAAAAGACAAAAGTTCGCTTGTGACAATCACAGTCTAACTAATATAGTGTCTAAAATCTTGACCTCGATAACGCTCCGACGCCTAGCTAGAGCTTGAGAAGAGCAGACTGCAGGATGCTTTCAGACTCAGACGTGGCTGTATAGACCACATATTCACACTTCCACAGGTCCTAAAACACAGGCACACATTTCGGCGTCCAACAATAGTTGTATTCTTCCACCTTAAGACGGCGTTTGACTCTGTTGATCGCGAGGTTCTATGGCAGTTCTTGTCACTGAAAGGAGTACCATAGAAATACTGGTGGAGCTAGAGATAATGGCGTACTGTCAACAAAATTGATTACTTCGGGTATTGTTCATCTCCATTCTTGTTTAACTTTATTATAGACATGTTTCTAGAGATAACATTATCTTCGTCTGACTTTTTGGGGGTGGACCTTCCACCAGGAGATACGCTTGTTGACTAAGAGAATGTTGATGATAAGGTTCTACTTGATGAAGACGCTGACAAAATGCAGTCTTTTGACCACCTTAAGCAACAACGCAAGCGTGTCCAGGATGCAATTTTCCCCCTCGAAATGAAAAATGTTGCTTCAGGATTGGCTTGCGAGGGGACCTGAACTAGTGATAGGGAATGAAGCAGTTGAGCGTGTTGACCGCCTCACTTGTCTCGGGAGTTTTATCAGTGCTAATGGGTTAGTGTCTGACGAAATCTCATCTCGGATACAAGAGGCCCGATTGGCTTTCGACAACCTTCTTCACCTATGGCATAGGCGAGATATCCGTCTGCTAACCAAAGGACGAGTATATTGCGAAGCAGTTCTCTCCGTGCTACTTTATGGCTGAGAAAAATGGCCAGTAAGAGTAGACGATATTCGTAGGTTACTGGTTTTCGATCATACGTTTCTCCGAAGCACTGGAGATGGTAGATCAAAAGGTGAGGTCTTGAATCCTCATCAGTTGAGGTAGTTGGGACACGTATTACAAATCCCCAACCATCGACTGCCTCGATGAGCTATTTTTTGTGGTCTAGGAGTAGGTTGGAAGAAAGCTAGAGGCAGCCAGACCAAAACATGGCGCAAATCCATGAAGTCACTGACAACTGGACTGAGTCATGTTGGTAAGTGTAGACTGCCTGGTTGGAGTTCGCGAGATGATAGTAACCGATGGTTAGCGACCTTGAATGACATGGTTCAAAATCGTTTGCAATGGCGCAAATGCATTCATTCTTTGTGTTCTCTCAAGTCCTAACCTTCTGAATTCCTCATCACTTCTATCTATCTCACTGAATTATACTTTTTGAATAACATCTTCGAACCCTAATCTTCTCCGATTACTGCTAATACTTCTATTACTTCTACTACTATGGGATTTGAATGGAAAATTACGTCTCCGTGCTAATGTGGTATGGCAACTTGAACTGATGTACGTACGTACGAAGTTCTACATTGTAACTGATTGACTTACTGATTCGTTTCTTCTGATGAATTTTTATCTGGAAAAAAATCAGCTAAGTATTTCAACATGCTTAATAAAGAAAATTTTCGAAACTATGAACAAAATTTTTACCACTCAATTAGGAAAAAGTTTACTAACTAGGGACTTAGATATGAGCCACACTGTAGATGTGACGCCTAAGGATAACACTCAATATCTATAACCGAAGTAGGTGAAATAAGGTTAGTGGGCAAAAGGCGATTGCCATGACAGCTAAGCCACCGCTCTACTTCATCACGAATAAAACCATCACTTAAATAAGAATAAAAAATTAAATGTCTTTTGAGACAACGACATTTTGAGACATTTTACTTCTCGACACTTAATATGTGTCAGTTAAGAATTTTCGTGTAACGGATTTTTATTTAAGCACTAAAATCAATATGCAAAACAAACTGAGAACCGACTTTGAATTAAAACAATAATTATAACGAAAGAGGGGAACCAACCTCAGATATAAATACTACAAGGGAATATTTATTGTCATCCCAGTAGTTGGATATTTCAGATGCCCGTGGATACTTAACACATCCTAGCTCTAATGTGACTTCCATGCATCCCGTAACCAGATAATTCCAATCTTGCATGCCACCTTGTAATGGATACCAGTTATTTCCATTTGTAATCCCATTCGGGAAAATTTTAAAATCGCATCCAGATCTACCCAGAAACATACTCTTGTGAGCCTGCAATGTAAAAAATATAGATGATAAAATTTTAACACCGCTTTTTGTGTATTTCTGAGGAAAAAAGACCATAAACAACTATTTGTCCAAAAACGAGGTTTCTTAGAGCCGGAGGATCAGTGAATGAAACATACGAAGCGAGTACAATGCAACAGTAACATGCATCATGTCGAAACTGTGTCTTACAAATGTTAGTCATTATTCAATCAATATTGAAGAACGTAAACTAAAGGCGACGGTAAGTTAAAAGGATGGGTTCCCAGAACTCGAAAAAAATTACTAGTATAGCCAAATTTTATTCTTCCTCTGATGGTGCTTCAGTTACACCTAGGTTGACATTCTTTGACAAAAAACTATTAAACTATTTCTTTCAGTCAACTTGTTAGTGTAACATACCTGACGTGACTAAATTCCCGTTGTCTTACAAAAGATGGACATACATGGACTTAATACTTAAACAAATACATTTTCAATTTAAAGTCATTGCTGATCAACAATCACTATGCATTGTATAAATTTCTTTTCATGAACCAATGATACGTAAAAGCAAACAGTAAATTACTATATTTCGTTGTCACTCACTCATTCCATTTATTAACAAAGCATTAAAATCTGACGAACTTCGGTAGCTCAAACCCCTCGAATTTAGAGACAATTATTCGAAAAAAGTGTCTTACCAAAGAAAACGTCATTTACAAACTGTCAATCACATGTAAGAATTCCTATGATTGAAGTTTATGTCATTCAAAGTAACTTAAGACATGGCTAGAATTTAGTAGTATTTCTAAGATTGTTTAGAGAAACAACTTTAGTATTATTTTTTTAAATGTTTTACGATGAGGCCGTCAAAAATCCTGTTAGGTGATGAAATACACGCCTATGGAAAGTATTGACAGTATTTGTCCTTTGTTCATGATTTTCTAAAGGTTTCACAATTATTACGCCGCTTAAGATGAAATCGAATAGAAGATAACTACGCTGATTGGTAACTGATGTTTTAAAGATCGATCGACTTTTTGTTTTAAAATCTTGCTAATAAGAACTTATGTAGATTAGCTAAACAGATTAAAGAAAGATTTTAACTGAAGAAGTAATACTCAGGTTTGGAACTGTGTGCAAAGCCAATCAGTTTAGACAATATAAATCAAGGTTTTCTTTTACGAGTAGAAATAATATTTACTCCTCAAAATAAACCAACCAGTAGAACAAAGACTCGAGAATGAATAACAATTATCCCAATAAAATCAAATTTAACCATCAGTAGTTATTCTTATTGCTTGTACACAGTCCAAATAAGTGGGGACCATCAGGTGAAATGTAATTATTTGATAAAAGGTAGTCAGAACGAGATATAGTTTGGGGCTTAAACTCACAGACAGTTAATATGGGTTGTGCTTAAATATTAGTAAAGCATGTATGCTACGCTTTTAAATGATACTTTATAAGCGAGAAATTACAACTTACACGACTATACACTGAAGCCAAGTGTTTGAATGTTGCATCATCAGGAGACGCAGAATAATAGGTAGTCATATTTGCACTACCATCAAATGGATACGATGCAACTAGTGAACCAGCATGTAAATTACCGGATAAAACAAATGAATGTTCCTGTGACCACTGCATTATTAATTTGGTTTCTGGCTCCTAAAATTAAAAGTAATGGTTTAAGATGAACCGGTTACACTCATACTTGTATTAAGTTTTCACTTGTTTTTCCAAACTGGTCAGGAAAATTACGATTCAAATCCACATTATGGAGATTGTTGCGTCCAATAATGCCACTTGTGTCACCTGTAAATGCACATAAATACAAGAATTTAACTAGTGCTAAACAGAGAACTGAATTATTCAACTATTTATTGTACAGAACTGTTAGACTTCTAGAAGTCCAAACCAGTAATATGAAACTTAGTAATAATCATTAAAAAAATTTAGTACAAGCCATCGTTCTGTACATAATTCATTGCTGAAAGTTAATTATTCCAATTAGGCTTCTGAATTCCATAACTGAAAATTTCGAAGTGCTGAATTAACTTCCTGAAAAAAATAATATGAGCTTCACGACTAGATTGTTAATCTCAGAGAACACGATACCTCGGAACAAATTAACAAAGTTCGATTGTTTTTCCCTTACGTGTTTGCAATGTTAAGACTTAATATTGCAATGTATTGGATGAACTCCCAATGATATAACATTAAATTCATCTTGCAAACCAGGATTTTAAAAATCTACCTATTTTTTTAGTCTTAGTACGTGGAGATAATATGGATTTCAAAAAACAGCGATTACTTAACTGTAGACTGGTTGAAAACTAAACATCTTTAGACTTGTAAACTAAGAAATTATGTTTATTGCCTGAAATGCAGCGAACATGATGCGTCAAACTTAAAGTTTCTGATATCTGAAGCATCTCATTTTGTATTAAAGGTATCGACTTATGCAGATAGTTTTAAAATGATAAGAATAAACTTTCTAATCATTTACTTTAGAATTGTGTTGCTTGATTGTTTTGTGAGAACCACTCACAAATTCCAAAGCAGAGAAATCGCTGAAGTACCTAAAAATATATCCCTGCGAAAAATAGGCTGCTTAATTGTTAACTTAAAAAGTTCAACAGAATTGAAACATTTTAATGCTCATATTCATTTTCTAAGGCTATTTGATGATAGTGCATACAAGCCAAAGCTATGAACAATGAGATAGAGAATACAAAAATAGTGTATATGGGAACCAAAGTCCGTCACTTGAGTGCATCAGAAAGATTTAAGTTGTAACATCATTAGTCGTCACCACAATTATAACTTTAAAACATGCTTACTGCAGCGCAGAACATATAAACCCACCTTCATGAGCGATTTCAAAACCATCAGGGTTAGCTGAAGGCATAAGATGGATTTGTGTGTAGTTGACCAAAAGTGTGACGAACTCATCAGAACCGTAATTCATACACAGTAGATATGCAAGACGTATTATAAGTTCTCTTCCTATTGCTTCGTTTCCATGCATGTTCCCCACGATTTTTACTTCTGGAATTCCAGGCACATGGTAATTTGGTACTTTTCCGAACGACAATACCCATAGTTCCCTACCAGCAACAGATTTACCGATGGTATATAATGCAGTTATTGTGGGACATCTTTTGCTAATCCCCTTCATCTTTTCAAACAGCGAATTATAGTGATTGTAGCTGAAAATATATAAGTTGGGTGTAATTTACCTGTTTTCAAGAGGAGCTTCAATAAGATCCCGATATCCATGTTTTGTGTGCACAGTAAATGGTTCAACCAGATGTAAAATTTGGCCGGAGATATTAGCAGGGAAATAAGATTCTGTAAATGCAGCCCATATCACACTTACTGAATACGCAAACGTCAAAGAACGAACTTACATAAAAAAACCAACAGTAATAGCTAACGAAGAACCCATTGACCTTGACTGTGCGTGACAGCCAAATAAGCCGGGGATGTAATCCGATCTGCAATATCTTTGTCTGCATGGAGTACACCAGAATGTAGCTAAGTGTAAGACTTGAATGATCATATCAAGTGGAAGGCGTAATTACTGACTAGCTAAGTTTTGAATCTGGATTTCAAATACTTTTCCTAAGGTTGTTGATATGAGTGAAGGTAAGAAGACATCATAGATGATGTCTGTTTGTGATTAAAATACTGCTGCAGAATTCAATAACTCCTGAAAATAAATAGTTCTTTAAGTCTCTGGCATTCGTATTAGTTGTTGCTTATGATATATCGATATTTTTAATATACAATATCCGCAAAATCTTTTTACACTGGTGAATAGACTGAAAAACAACGATAATATAAAAAACTCCCAATTACAGGTTATCAATATTCGACCTGTCCCATTATTTCCCACAATCCAGAAGTCTTGTTTGCGGCACTGGAGGCTCAATTCGAGATCCGTCGCATCACGAATCAGAGGCAGATGTATACCTACGCTCCAGAATCCTTACCTGGAGACCATATTGCTTCTGCTTGTTAGGTAGTCCCCAATTCTCACGTACCAGACGTCTACGATCATCTCAAGCAGGCAAATTTTGGACATTTCCAACCATCAAGGGGAGAACGATTGGGGACCTTGTTAGGACGACACCCCTGGTTGATGCCAAGCCGAGCCACCATCTCACGCGCCTGCACGCTTTGGCAAAACCCATGACGGATGACTCTGAAATATTCAACGAACTATGGCTCGTATCCCTTCGAGCACATATTTAGGCTCCAATCACTGCTGTGCTCGGGGACACACCACTTAACCAGGTTGCTCTCATAGCAGGTGAAATTGGAGAGCGAACTAGTTCGCAAGACAACTACATGGTTGCCTCAATCTCAGGAATAACGTACAAGGCGGCGAGCAAACACGGCCGTATTCGCCGGCCCCTCTCCTCATAGTGGCCGCTTATTGTATGCGCACGATATCCTCACTAATTCTAGGTACCTAGTTGACACGGGGACCCAGGTTTCTGTAGCACCACTTGGTAGCAGCAAGTCTCAAACTATGATGCTTCGTCTACGCGCTACTAATGGCTGTATCATTCCAGCCTTTGGTACACTATAGGTGACGGTCAACTTGAGCAACCGCCGACAGTGTCTGTGGACATTCATTATTACCGGTGTTCACACAGCTGTACTTGGTATCGATTTCCTACAGCACCACGAATTGCAAGTCGATTCACATAGGTGAAGTTATATGGTCTGACCCCAGAAAGGCGAATGATCAGATATGAATCAGGCCAATCTCTCAGTTGATTATCTTATCAAGTGATTACCTGGTCAGTTCCATCTAAATCCCTTGAAAAAACAAATGTATCGTATCCGTTTCGCAGTTATTATCAAGGATGTGACCTAGATATCCTTCTCCTTTGAAAATTAGAGTTATATGCACTAGCTTTTGGTCGTTTGGGGTTGCGATCGTACTCGATGAATGGCGCACTCATCAATTTGAGATGTTGTCTATGGTTTTAACATGCGGTAACACTTTTACTAGGAGCTCTACTGCATGAATATCGCTGTTACTTGTACCATTAACACATAAAAACCAGGCAATCGCAGCAGGCTTTGTTTAAGTGAGATGGAGTAATCTGATTGGCTCTTTAGATCGGCGACATATCTGCCAATCGGTTCAATTTGCTACTGATACCTGTCGTCTTTTAGCTCCTCTATAGCGTAGTGACTCCACTTTTACGAAGAGGATGTAATTGATTTAATAGAAACATTGATCAACACAATCAATTGTACCAGTGATCGTTTTACTGTAGTCTTTGTTTATTCGTACATTGTACGCGCAAACTTACCGTTTGTTGCTGCTCTTTTGGTTATATTGCTCGTTGTAACTTCGCCCTTTATGTCTGGCATGATTTCGATATTCCTTCAAAAACATGAACTTACCAACAAATATATATTCGTTTCTGGATTAGATATTCTTTACTGTCCTTGATTCACGAAGGGAATATGATATGTGACGAGAATGTAATAGGCCCGTAGTGGTGTTCAGAGTCAATCGCGACTCGAGCTCGCTAGTTTGGAATAACTGTGCATGTTGTTCCTTTTGTTTCGATCAGTTCCCATTAATAGAATTCGAAGAATGTGATTCCTTCCGACCTTGCGTTGCTCGCGATTTTCATGAACAGCTTGTAGAATCTTTTTAGAATATTTTGTTTTTTCGAAAATCCCTCCATGTATATATATTTGTGTTATGATATGACTGACTCTTTCTGTTGACATTTTGGTATTTTATTTGATTCCATTTTGAGATTTTATCATTGTATATTGTTATTATATCTATATTTTGTACTTATATTGAAGTTTTATGTTTGCTTCTGAACTGTACACATGTTGTTTAAATTTGATATATAATATGGCTACAGCCATATTTGGATTTGATATCGTCGCAGTATACTAGCTTCACCTAATCTTTTGAACTCGGATACTCATCATAGTAATTTCGACTTGGAAGGCGTAATAATTGTCAGGTAAATGTTTGTATTTCCATTTCTTTTATATACATAGACCACTTTCTCCTAGAATTATTGTGTTCTGATATTGGACTAGGAGAGGGGTGCGTTCGACATACGCCTATTGGAATCGAATTGAACTGCTACGGTAGAAAATTCAACTACAGTCTGACAATTAATAAAAACGAGCCATCTACAGTCTGACTTTTGATTAGAAGAACAACTACAGTCTGACTTTTGAGAAGAACAAGCCTACTACAGTCTGATTATTAAGAAGAATAAGGAAACATTTGGAATTTACTCGTTTACAATATTAAACTTCCTAGAAGAAGAACTTTGGATTACTTATCGTTTTTTTGTGATCGAACTGTATTTTGGAAAACGATTTTCTGATCTTTTGGATTTTCATTGATCAAGATTTACTGGTGGAATTTCTATATTTTGTATTTGTTATTTATCTTTCGTTGAACTTCATTTACCCATGAGCTACCGAACGAAAACAAACACGAAGAGGGTGGAAGAGCATGAAGAATCCCGAAATGCTAGGCAAGTCGTTTATGATTCTTCTTGTTTAATGGGTTCATTTTCCACCAGTAGTGATGTTGTGTTTGATACTTATTATTGTAAGTCACCCTTAGAAGGCATTAAGGAACAAAATTTGGGCGAGAATTCTAAGGTACCAGAGAAGGATCAGATGCTTAGGACACCGATAGTAGGCTTAGAATTACCTAAGGTTGAACTTTTATTCTTTGACGGCAAACACCGCGACTACTTTAGGTTCGTTAAGCAGTTTGAGTCGTTTATAGAACCTAGAGTAAAGGATGATAATTTGCGTTTATTATATTTAATTCACTACTGTAAAGGAAAAGCAAGAAACGCGATTGAAGGCTGCCTTATAATGGAACCACAAGTGGGATATAAAAGAGCTAAGGCTATTTTAAAGCAGCTCTTTGGACAGTCGCATGTGATAGCCCGTGAAACTCTGGAGGACTTGTTTAGAACTGGAAATGCGGACTATAATGATCCAGAAAAATTGACGAAATTAGCAATTAAAATGCAAAACGTTGCTATTACTATGGAACGGTTAAATTGTATGACAGAACTAAATTCTCCAGTAACTTTAGAACGAATAGTTAGGCTCTTACCTCATCGAATGCAAGCCCAGTGGGCGGAGCTGGGAATTAAGTGGGACGAAGAGGAAAGAGAACCTAATTTCAATGAATTGACGGATTTTATTATGTCTCGTGCTAAGATAGCTAGTAGTAGGTTCGGAAGATTAGCTAATCGTGCTAAAACAGGACATAGTACGGAAGCTATTAGTGATCTGCGTGCGAGACATGAGGATTCTTCGTTTACACCTAACTCACACCCGGAATTTAAGAGAGTTGTTAATTGTATCAGAAAAGTATACCACGTTGAAAACCGAGTATGTGACCGCGATGATTTAAAACCCCTTGATGCGTATTTCAGTAAGAAGCCGGTTTGTGTAGGAGACGAGACGGCTTTTTTAAGTATGGAAAAGAAAGAAAAAGGCGAAAAGGGTAGGCATCAGGATGGGTCCGAGGTGTATGATGGTAAAAGCCTCTTAACGGCTCAAAAAGCAAGGAACGGTTATTTGGATTCGAGCAAACAGAGGTTATTGAGTACAGTGAATATGAATAAGGAAAAAAACAGGATTGGCTGGATGGAATAAAGCTTATGTTCGGAACCCTTCACGTAGGGTAAATTATTTGACTCGACCTAGAATTGATTCTAGGACAACAAGTTTGAATAGTGACACAGCACTTCATGTTGCTGAGCAATCAGGATGTTTGCGGGCTACTATATCTAGTTCTATAGAGCATCATGATATTAAAGCGGAAGATATTAGCAGCTTAGCGCGTCCTGCTGATGTTTGTTTACGGTCAACGGGTGGACAGTTGTATACTGGTCCAAGTAGTCATAGCAACATTGATGGTGTTAGTGAAAGTGGTAGCATAGCTTTAAAGCCTGCATGCCAACTATCTTGCGACTTGTCATTAACTATGAATAGTCAGAACATCATTGTGGATAACAATAACTTCAAGGTGGAAGTGAAACCTGACGTACCTATGAACAGTGTAGTTGATGTGAATAATAAACGTGATGGTGACGATAGTGGAATCACTACAGGTAGTGCTGTTTCTTCGGTTGATGTTGCTAATATAGCTTCCTTGTGTACTTCGGATCAAGACGAAATTGGATGTTTGAGCGTGGAGAATGTAGGCGTTGGTGGCAATAGCTTTAGCCACAGTGATGGCAGTACTGAGAAGGCTAACATTGGGTATCCTAGGTGCAATCAGGAGTCATCTAGGTTTCATGGACATGCTGTTGTGTTGAATATGCAGCATGAGGAATCGAGCACGGAATTGTCCACCTGTCGCACTCCACCATCATTGACTTGTACTACAAGTATCGGGATGAGCACTACCAACAGTGATAAGATAGATAAGGCTAAGAGCAT